AGAGTACTTGCGATCCGAGCAACCTCATGGGCAACGTTGCTCGCAAGAGTGGCGACGCTGCGAGCTGCGCTTTCACGGCCCTCCCAACGAGCTGGGACACAGACGTGCCCGATGCCGAGTACCGCGTCCTACTGCTTCGCCGGCTGAGGCTACCGCTGCCGCTTACACCCGCGCGATGCCCTTGCGGAGGCAACCTCGACGCGCTCGGGGACCACCGGTCCGCGTGCGCGCAGGTCGGGGTGCTGGCCCGTCGTGCTGGCCCCCTCGAACGTGCAGCAGCGCGCATTTGCCGCGAGGCAGGAGCGCGGGTTGCCACGAATGTTTCCCTGCGCGATCTCAACCTTGATCTTCCGGCCGCGGATGGGCGCAGAATCGAGGTCGTCGCCAACAACCTTCCGATCTGGCAACGTGCCCAGATCGCGGTTGACACCACGATCGTAAGCCCTTTGAGGCGTGACGGCGAGCCCCGCCCGCAGGCGGATCGGGAACCGGGACTCGCCCTCCGTCAGGCCATCGACCGCAAACTGCGAGCATACCCAGAACTACGGTGCGCCCGCCGCTGCAAGCTGGTCGTCTTCGGGGTTGAACTGGGCGGGCGCTTCAGCCAGGGCACCTTCACCTTCCTGCGCTTGCTCGCCCGCGCCCGTGCGCGCCAACGCGCGCCATGGTGCGCGGCAGCGGCCCGCCAAGCGATGGTGCACCGGTGGACCACCCTGGCAGCGCTCGCGGCGCTCCGCGCCCATGCGTGCACGCTGCTAGAGCTTCCAGTGGGCGAACAGGTTGACCTGCTCGAAGGCAGGAGCTCGCTCTGGGGGTGCTCCTGGCGGGGCATGGGCCGCAGCCGCCCTACACCCAATGCTCGTAGTAGCAGCGGCAGCAGCAGCAGCCGCAGAAGCAGGAAGAGCGCAGACTCCCCGCGAGTAAAAAGGTGCGTGGGAAAAAAAAACTCGCAGGACGACGAGGTCGCTGCCGCTGTTTCGGAGCGCGCCCCAGGCGCTGCCCAACAACGGCCAGGGCGAGGTGGAGGGCGTCGTGGCCGCAGAGCCGGACGCGGAAGCAGGATCCAAGAGTCTTCGGCGCCGGTCGCCGCCCCGTCCGCTGATGATGCTGCGGCTGCCGCCGCTGCTCCGACGCAAGCTGAGCAGCGGGTGAGCGCCGCCGCCACGGGTGGCGCCTCGGCCTTGAACAGCTCGACGACATCGATCTCGCATCTGAGCTGCGCCGACGCGCGCTGACGCTCCAAAGCGCTCCAACCCAGCTCCGAGGCGTCCTCCGCTTCGCGATGCGGACAGGGTTGGAGCCCTTGAAGCCATTGCAGCTGCGTTGCAGCCAGGCGAAAGGGTGTTTGCGTTCTTCGACGACATCTACTCGTCTGCTCCCCAGAGCGCGTCGCCACTTTTTATGGTGTCCTCGCCGCTGCCCTCTGGGATCATGCCCGGGTCCAGCTCAACCACGGCAAGACCCGTGTTTGGAACGCAACAGGGGAGGAACCGCCGAAGCTCGCTGCACTCCAACCAGACCCCAGCTCTGCCACGGGCGTTTGGGTCGGGGCTTGGACCTTGCCCCCCGAGCAGCAAGGGCTCGTCGTGCTCGGTGCGTCGCTCGGCACTGAGGCATTTGTGCACTTGCGGGACCGGCGCCGCAGCCAGGATGCCCTCCTCGAGCGAATCCCCACCTTCGGCGACTTGCAGTCGGCCTGGTTGCTGCTATTTTCTGCGCGTCGACCTGCGCCAACTACCTCCTCCGTATGCTTCCTCCGCACTGCACCGCCGCTTGCTCCCGTGAACATGATCGCATGCAGCGCCCGAGCTACCGGCTGATGCCCTTGCCACGGCGCAGCTACCGCTTGGGTTGGGGGGCCTGGGTCTGCGATCTGCCACCTCCGGTGCCCCGGCCGCCTACTGGGCCTCGTGGCAGGATGACTTTCCTGCGCTGCTCCAGCGCTTCCCGGCTGATGCAACACGGCTGCAAGCTTGCCTCCGTGAGCCGCATGCCGGGATGCCACCAGCCCACGGCCGCAACGCGAGTGCGTGAGGCTGGCTTGCCGGCGCCCGATTGGAGCGCTGAGGTGCAGCACCTCACCCTCCGCACGGGCCTTCGCAGTGCTCCCTACGTCTGCCGCTGTCGCCCTGCCCGCCGAACACCTCCGCGTGCTCCTTCTGCGACGGCTGCGCTTGCCGCCCCTTGGCGCCGCGCACCCGTCGTTGCCGAGGCCGCCTCGACCCGCTGGGCGACCACCGCTCAGCCTGTGCGACGTCCGGTGTGTTGGCGTCCAAAGCCCTCCCACTTGAGCACGCGGTCGCCCGCGTCTGCCGGGAGAGCGGCGCGCGCGTTGCCCGCAACATCAGGCTCGCCGACATGAACATCGATGTTCCTGTCAGCGACGCGCGTTGCATTGAGGTCGTCGCGAACGGCCTGCCCCCTTGGCACGGGGCGCAGCTCGCGATTGACGCAACCATCGTCAGTCCGGTCACGCAGGGCGGCGAGCCGCAGCCGGGCGCCGCCGCACGCCTTGGCGCGGCAGTCCAGGCCGCCGCTCGTCGCAAGCGGCGCCAAACATACCCCGAGCGCGCGACGGGCGCGTCTCGTCGTTGTCGGGGTCGAGGTTGGCAGGCGCTTCGGTGCCTCGCGCGGCACCGCGCTGCCAGCCTGGGTCCCGCGCAGGTCTGGCTTCCTCGCGGTCGCTGCTATGCGCGCCTATGCGGTCTCCCTCTTGGAGCTGCCGCCTGGGGGTGACCTTTGTGATGCGGGCGAGGCACCTGACCTGCACGAGGTCCTCGTTTGAGGTCCGCGGCGGCCCCGCACTGCTCGCAAGCCGCCTCCCGGCGCCTCGAACCGGCCCGTAGTTGGTAGGCTTCTTGCACTGGGACCGCGGCTACCGTTCGTCAAAAGGCATGAAAACAAGTAAAAGGTGCGCGCTTTGTCGTCAAACGCTAGGAGTCTTTGCATCGGCGCATTTTGCTTCAATTGGACCCGGGATTTTGCTTTTGGAATCGGAACGGAACGCGCCAGGATCGGCAGAGTCTTCGCTCGTAGTGGTGCTGTTTCAGGCTGCCAGCAGCTATCTACCATTATGCATGTTGACAAGTGCCAGAGTGTTCGGGGAGTGTTCGGGGCATGCATGACTTGCGTATTGCCCGCGGATGGCCAGGCACTTGTTCCCGGAGTGCGGGGCGACAACGGCGACAAAGTATTGCCAATTAAAAAGGCCAGGACAACCAATTGCAACAGCAAGGTCTGTACCCTTGTGCTGGTGTGCAGCGTGTCAGGTCGTTTTGCTGCTTCTCCGGGTATTGCAGCGGTTGCTTAGTGTGCCGGATAAGGCGCGGGAACATGAGCCCGCATGTTGTGTACACCATTTCGCAGCTTTCTCGCTTGAGGTTCTGTACCCTGCCACAACTGCAAGTTTTCAAGGTGGGAGTTTTGCAGCCGCTTGTGTTCGGGATAAACCGCGCAGGCGGACAATTTCAATGGGCACATGGGTTACCACATCTTGTGCAGGACCACGTGTGTTTGACTTCCAATCTTTCACTGCGCTACATGCGCACCAAAGGCCATGGCGACATGTGCTTGGTGTGGTGATTCGTTGACTGGCAAAGTCGTTTTGATCGGGTTTGTGCTCATTCCTTCACGTTTTTCATGACCTGGAGGCAAATTCGGCAAAAGTATGCGGGCAGTCGCAACCTCAGTCAGAAGCACCGACGACTGTACGACCAGCATCGATGTCGGATTCGACAAAGGCGGTTGCCCAGCTGCTGTTGAAGAGAGCCTTTTGTTGGCCCAAATGTGGGAGGCCAGCCGAGTCGGATCGAACCGGCGTATAGGCTTACAAATTTGTGTTAGTTGCCAGGACGAGTTTCTTTTGACCTACACGCCGTGGCCTGGGGCAACAACATCCTGCTGTGCTCCTGCTTGTGTTGCTCGACATTTTGGCTGGCAAGGTTCCACCCTGCAGAACTAGAACACTTGAAGACCTCCGAGTCTTTGCAGGATGCATGCCACAGGTATCAGGACTGAACTGGCGATTTTGTGGCGCTTTCCGCGGTATCTGAGCCTCAATTCTTGAATACGCGAGGGCTTGAGGGTGGGTTTCGGGTTAAGGGTTTAGGGTGGAGTCTTCGAGCTCTATGAATGGTTGTGAGGCCTTGGGATCAGACGAACCATACAATTCGAATTGGGGCTTTGAGGGTTCACTGTATAAAATGGGTGCTTCAAAAACAATGTGTTTAGCGGCTTAAGGGCTCCGATGTTTCTCAGCGTGTGATTTTGAATCTGGATTCCTCCAAGCTGTTTTGTCCCTGAATGGGTAAGTCTCCAGGGTTTGGTGCTGACATTGCGTGCGCTTTCACAACCGATACCAGCCTCGGCTTTCATCCCGAAGGAACTGCAGAAGCTTGCCCGTAGCAGGCCCGGCATATGTGGAACCATGTAGAACGTCACACAGAGCTGGGAAGCTTGCCAAGTCAGAAGCTGGTAACTGGTACATGTCATGTGTTATCCGCTGTACAAAGTCATGGGGCTTGGGGACATGATTTTGATGTTTCAGACGGGATGATGGGGAGGCAGCCCAGCCCACTGCCCAGCGAGGCGGGCAATGGTCGCATGATGATGGATGCCTTTGTCCTGCCAAGAATGCCCCGTCCAATCCGCCATACTCCGCCATAGATATTAAGTCTAGCACGTTTGATGGTCGAACCCTTCGCCAGGGCACTTTGCCGGTCCAGCGGCCGTCTGGGGTCGGAGGCGGTTTGTTTCGAACACAGAAAGCATCCATTGAGCGGAGTGTGCCGAGTTGCTGGTGCGTTTGTCGATGGCAGATGCGAGTGCCACGTCGTCACCCCGAACTGTGAGCCGGCCTGTCCCGTTTGAGTTCCACATGGGCTGCGGCTTCTTCAGCTGAAGCCTCTGTGCCGGGTGGTCAAGCGCAGACAAGCCGCTCATTGATGGCACGTTGCCGTAGATTCTTCAGGCTTAAGGCATCGCTCTTGCTGCCCGGCGCCATGGCACCATTCGTCCCCGTGCGGCGCCGCTCCGCGCTCGCGGCCGCTCTCGCCATAGCAGCACTTTGCGGCCTGTATGGGCAGGCTGGAACTGGTTCAAAAGTTCCTTTAACCCTTCGAAGCTGTCCCCAAGCAGTCTTTGCACACTGCGAGGTAAGCTCTGCTTCGGCTTTCGTGACCGGGCTTCCAACAGTGCGAGCTCGACAACCCGCTGTCAATATGCAGTCGAAGGCAGCGCTGCAATGTATGATAATGTATGATACGTATCTTTCACACCCGCAAAGGTTCATGTGGTGTTCTGATTAGTAAACCCTCTTTCCCCCTAAACAACTTAAATGCGGACAAGTCAGGTGGCATTTTGACCACCTGAATCAAGCTTGGAGAAGTTGTTGCGGGGGGGAGGGGGGGGGGGCAAGCTTGTAGCTGAAAAGAATTCTTTCTGTTCCGAACCAACCATTTTCCCATGTTACTATTCTGCTGAATTCCGGGCCATCGTGGACGACCCCTCATCAAACCCTTGACCTTCTGGCCATTTTATATGTCTTGTTGTTAGGGCATCATTGGTTTCCGAGCGCAGACGAAATCAAAGCTTCGAGCTCTGGGCTGCAGCGTTGAAGCTGGCCAGGTTTCACTTTAGGTTTCAGATTCTGTCGCTGTAGCCTTGAAGGCTTGAACTCTTAAACCGCTAATTTTGTTACGTTCCGGGCCAGTTTAGTCTGCCTCGGCAATATGTCGCAATTTGACGAACCATGTATGATTATGCTGTTCGGAAATATGTCGCTTTAATACGAACCACAATACTAGAAAGTGGCATCGCCACAAAGACTGAAGGCGGAAGCCAGCAACACTCCACATGGGTCTGCAATCCCATACCCTTTCTGGCTGGAGGTGGACGACATTGTGGAAGAGCTCAAGGGTTTAACCTTGCTCGAAGCATCCGAGTTGGTCAAGGCCATCGAGGAGACTTGGCGGGCACGGCCTGGAACCACCAAAACCGCATGCCGCATACCCGTTGTTGCCACACCAACTCCGGCATGCACACGACGTGGCCCATGGCAGCACAGTATCAGCGATGCCATGAGGAGACCTTCGGTGTGGATGCTTCTGCCTCGGCAGGGGTCGTCATGGCTGCCCCCGGTGCTGCGGGCGGGGGCGAGGCTGCAGAGGCGCCCTGAACAACACGAAGTTGCTAAGCCAAATACCAAGCGTGCCTTGCGGTCCCAATACCAAATTGGGTCCTTGTTGTTCTCATAGTGAGAGAGCCTTTAAGAGAGTCAGAGCCCAAGCTTTCTTCAAGAGGTGAGAAAGAGAGCGTTAGAGCGTTTTCCGAGCAGACAAGTCGTTTGTTGGCGAGTGCTCTGTCCCGCGCACGAACAGATCAGGTCACGTAGTTGTGCCAGTTAGATAACGCTTGCGACAGGATGCCTTATGATAAGGCCTCCAGCCCTGCGTGCGGGAGAGAGCCGTATGGGACCTCAATTATGAAATTAGCCCAAATCTAGAGCAACCCAGTTCTGGCGGTGCCCCATCTGTTTCTGCAGGCAGCGCCTGAGAAAACGGAGTTTGATGTTGTCCTGAAGGAAGTGGCAAAGGACAGCTGGGGTGTCACTCCGGTAAGGTGCCCAACCCTAACGGCAGGGCTAGCCTCGTCCAAGTTTGACCCTGAAGGAGAAGAAGATTGCCATCATCAAGGCTAGACCCGCAATCAATAGGTTCAGCTGTTCGACGATTTCGACCGAGATGTTGATGCGAAAAGCGGGACTTGCCAAGCTCTATAACCAGAAGTTGCTCTGTGTGCATCAGTCGTGAAAAAGCTGCTTGTCAAGGCCATCAGAGCAATCACCGGCCTCGGCTTGAAGGCCAATCTCCCAATGGGGGTACCCGCGTTTACAATGTACGTGCGTTGAATCGTGTCATGCTCCCCCAGGACGCCAAAGGCATGGCTGACAACCCTGGCAAGCTGATCGAGGGAAAGCCCAAGGATGTATGCGAGGATGCCGTGCCTTGAGGGTTGAGAGTTATGCAGGCTTTTCCCTTTTTTTTTTACCTGAGCAAGGATCAAAGTGGAGGGGTGGGTGGGTGGGTGGGTGGGTGGGGTTGGTGCATCTCTTGCCTTAAGGTGAAGCAGCTAGAGGAAGCGGGGGCCACTGCAGTGATCGAGTGAGCCGGGGAGCTTGGAAAGTTTCGGGGTGGACAGAGTTGAAAACAACAGCGCTCGAACCACAGGCAGCTTATGATAGCTTATGAACCAGAAATGGATCTTCAGAGTCCTATGGAACTTGGCCACTGAGTTCAGTCTAGGCTCACATTCTTCGATGTCGTAGTGTAACGGGCCTCTTGAGGCAGGACCCCTTGTTGAGCACGGTCCTTGATGGGCTGAATCTTCAGACCAAGGGTTCCACCCGAGATTGACTGTATGTGTGTATGTGCTGAGTATGTGCTGGTCTTCGGCCGGACTCGAAGTTTCACAAAATTGAGCCCGGTTCCAAGACTTTCCAATTCTGGAACAGGATGGATGCTGACGAGCGTGGCAGGAAAAAGCTAGGGCAGCGTCGGGGCTGGCCGAGTCACTCCAGAAATCTCCAGAACCAAGGTCGCAGAGACCCCAATACCCCTGAATTAAAGAATCTTCTTTAAAGAAAAAAGAGGGTTCCTTATATGGTTTAAGGAATATATAATATATGATATATGTCCCTTAATTAAGGGGTATTGGAGCCTCTGCGGCTCCTGGCTTGTGGCCCCTGGCCCCTGGGTGCCAGGCTGGCCAGGCTCGGCCCGGTCCTCGTCCGCAGCTACGGAGGCCAGATCTCCACTGCACTTGGGGTTTAGGGTTTAGGGTTTAGGGTTTAGGGTTTAGGGTTTAGGGTTTAGGGTTTAGGGTTTAGGGTTTAGGGTTTAGGGTTGTCTTGCACCTACACTTTGGCCGTCAAGTGCCTTAAGCCCGATGCTGGGCTTGATTCTACTTACTAGGTGCCTCTTGGGGCAGCCGAGCATCCGAACATCTCAGAGGTTGGCGGGCGCTGTTGTGCACCGTGGTTGCTGGCTATAGCCGAATAGCATGCAACGGGCCATCTTCATGCCCCGTCGCCCACCCCGCCCTCTACTAGTTCGACCTGACTCCTATCCTGAAATTTGGAAACCCTTGCGTTGTGCTGCGTCCTAGTCCAGCATTGGCAATCAGACATTCGTGGCATCCTGTGGCATCAGCAGAAGACTGCAGAAGGATGTTGCGAGCCTTTTGTGGTTGCCAGGCGTCCTCATGCACTACTGGTTTTGCCGAAGGCTCTGGGGATAGCAGCAAGGCAATGCGAGACAGAGGTCGGAATCAAAGATGATCAAAGGACCAGCGGTGTAGAGTGCAGAGCTTGTCAAGAGATCGAACCAGTGACAAGACCTTCAGCATTTGTTCTACAACATGGGGTGGCGGCAAGAACCCCAAGCCAGATGTGTTTTACATACGCCGGGCAAACTGCTTACGCTGCGTCTGCGCCAGGGTCGTCTTCACATCCTCCGCCTGTGGTGTGGCAAAGGCGCGCCATCGGCAAGAGTTCGGGTTTGTGTTGTGCCCAGTTTCCTCAACTTCAAGCATTCAAAGAAGAGAATCTGACTGGGCCAGAACAGGTGCCGCAATTTTAGCCGCGGCAGCGAGTGCGCCAAGTGTTGGCACATGCATTAGCCAAGGCCAACTGAAATGTCAGGGATACTTGCGCAGCACAAGCGGTGACAGCCGTGATGGTGATGGCAGCCTTGCCGTCGGCCAATGTGCCAGTCAGATCGACAGCCGCAAGGGCCGCAAGGCTGCCACACGAAAGCATCACGACGCATCTGATGGGCTGTACGACAGTACAACATCGCTGTGCAGACGAATCAAGCACATTCGCACCAACGCATGACGACCCCCCTCCCCCCCCCAAACACCGATCTCAGCAGAGATTTGCGTGAGGCCATGTCTTGTGAGATGTGGATGGGAACAGCTGTGACAGTGCCTCTAGGTTGATGGTAGCATGCCATCCTTGGTTCGGCTTGGGAGTTGTTTCCTATCGACACGAAGCAGGTTGTTTTTGGCCTTGCTCCCCTCACTGGCAGAGCTCATGGTGATGCTGATGAGGCTTGTGCTGAACTCCAGCACGGGCCTTGAACAACACGTGCACGGGATAGTCATTTTCTTAGAGCCACATACCAGGGGCAGGTAGGCGCTGGATGTGCTTTTGACCTCGGTGTTCCTTGGTGTTAACTTTTCGGGGCCCGGTGGGTAGGTGTGGACAAAGCACAGCAGCATGCAGGCGAGACAGACGCATGCACTCACATGCTTCTTAGAGTTCCGAGGCGTTTGCACGGAAGTCATCAACAGCTGTGATGTCCTGGATCTGTGGCGGGAGCGACGTGCCGCTGACATGCACGAGGCCGCACGCAGATTGATCAGTGCGACAGCCCTCAATATTCAGGAGTATCCAAGGCGGCATGAATAGAGGGAGGGCGGGACGGGAAGGGGGGGAGGTGGTCATTCAGCCATGTCTCTTTCGATGCTTCCTGCTCTTGCCTGGACAGCATTTCAGGGCCTGCCGTACTCTGGGGAGCCGGACACTGCAGATCTGGTGGAGGTCTCGACATCCCAAACATCCCAGCAAGTGAGAGAGCAGGAAAACTCTTCTGGGAGCCAGCTGGCTATTTCGGACATACCAGACATGAGACGTGACAAGACCGGTTGGTTGCGTTTCTCGTGTACTTTGGAGAACTTTAGGCCAGAGCTAGACAAAACCCGGCCACAACGCCTCCATGCGCATTGGATCAGGACCTCCGACATCGACAGCTCCTTGCTTGTGGCGCGGGAGGCCGGGCAATGTACTTCAGATGATTTCGGGTGTTGCCCTGCATTTATTCAGCTTGATGCTGCAGCTGTGTTTCTTGGAATCGCTTTCTTTGGTGGACGGAGACGAGCCGGCGTCAGGCACGCGTCCTGTGAAATTGCAGGTATTCTATTGCTGCTGATCAAGTCGGCCCGACGGTATGACCCGGAGGAGTGGGTGTGGAGATTATCGGTGACACTCTTTTGTTCGAGATTGAGCCTTCCTCACAGCCCTCAGGATGCACTCAAGCTTGCCAGGACTATGCGATTCTCACCCAAGTCTTAGCTGACCACCGTGGCGTTGGACTGAACGGCTATTCTCCCAGCACCCGTGTCACTTCGCGCCGCACCTGCGCCTGTGCCTTTGTGAGGGGCTATCGTGGTGTTGAAGGTCTTGAACACGGACGGGGCATGTGGCCATGCGTTTCGTAGGTTCTTGGTTGGAGTGTCATTGAAGCTGACTGTTCACCTTACTTTCGCGAGGCTGTTCTAAGTCCTCTTCTGCTAGGGGCTGCCCTCAATGTGATCCAACGTGCAGGATCCTCCGCCAGAGGCAGCCCCACCCACGCCGGCGTTGAGCTTGGTGCATGTAGATGGTTCCCCTTTCCACACATTCGTTTCGTTGCCTTGTCCCTTGGCCTGCAGAGGTGTTGCCATGCCTTCGGCCTGCCATGGGAAGTCCGGACCCCACAAGCTACCAGTAGGCAATGAGCTCATCGACAGCAGCTCTTCAGGTGCGCACTTCCCCCTATCTTCGAAATACCGCGAGGCCATTCTAAGGGTTTGTATTTCCATATATTTCCATAAAACGTCGAGGATTTGGGTCGACTGCTCCAGCTGTTTTGCATAGCCGGGGTCCATGTTGAACTTCTGCTCGACTAGCCACTCACTACGCGACAGCAGGTGCCCCAAGTCGCAGCTCCACCGATACGAACCTTTCAATGGGCACGCCTCTTCATCTTCAGGTTCTTGCCAACAATGGCCTTGCCAGGAGTGCGGCAACGCTCGCCTGCTGGAGCTTCTCCACATGCTTTGCAAGACCTGCCGCTCGGCGAGAGTGCTATGGGGACGTGGGCGGCATGCATTTCCAAGACGTGGGGTGCGGTCGAGGGCTTTGCTTCATCTTGCCACTGTTCCGCCTGCATTCGGATTAGAGGACTGGCTTCATGAAGATTGCAGTTAATATGGTAATGCAAGATTGCACCCTTTTCATTTGCTTTTCACTTGCTGTGGAACATCGGAAAAGGAGGCTTCGACAGGCGCCTCACCCTTGGGCAAGCATTGCTTGGCAGCCTCACTGAGGCCCTGACCGGATCCGAAAGTATCTGGTTCAATATCGGGCCTCCTTCATTCTGAAGCGCAGGGCTCTCAGTCTTTGTAAATGGACTGCGAGGGGTTACAGCGATGTACCTTCCCGAAGCGATCTCAGCGCCTCAGGACTAAATAAGTCGGTCGGCTCTCCTGTGCATCGGCTCATCCTGAAGCTGATGAAGAAGCCGCTCAGCTGGACATGTTGAACATGAATCTTGACAAGCACCTAGTTGAGAATGCTGCAGACTCAAAAAAGTGCATTGCTGGTTGGGCGCAAACACCTGCCACTAATAGTGCCTCAGCCTGTGGTGTGGGGGTGTGGTTCAGCTAGCTCCTGCGCAACATGCGGCCAGACCTCGGCGAATCATGTCGCTAATCCCTACCGATGTGAAGCGCATGGCACGAAAGCACGCTCATTGGAGCCCGCGGTCTGTTTCGCTTTGCGGGACCCCAGGATTCAAAAAGAGGAATCCAAGGCCTCATAGACTCATAGGTATGATACATATTGACATTGCTTTCTATCCCAATAATCTAAATGGCCTCTTTACGGGTCCCCCTTCCCTTCTGGGGCTCTACGAGAGGTTGTTTACGTGGCAGTTCTGTTGCGTCCGCGTCGCATTCGGATGATTTGACCATGGAGCCAAGTAGAGAGCTTTGCAAACTGGTTCTTGGGCCACAAGAGCTCCAATTTGGTGTCCGTCTCCCTTGCAAGGCAGGTCCGCCATCTTCCACGCTCCGCAGCAGCATAGATTGTCTTGTGCCAGGAAACTCGAGATGGCGGTTTCTGGCTTTCCACGTGCCTGTGAAAACTGAAACTATACCCGTCCCTTACGATACAGCCGATACATGCCAGTGCCAAGGCAAGTGGAAACAGACCAACATGAAAATCCTCTCGGCCTGCTACCTGCAGGCCAGCATCACTTGTGACTACTTGTGGCTGCAGAGCAGCACCCGGTCAGTGATAGCTTCTCCACTGTTATCCTGGTCTCCTCTGGCCATGCAGTGCTGTAGTTCACCAAATGTCACCTTAGTTTCACATCTGTGAAGGTGGCCATGAGTCCGCTGGAGGACTGGCTGCTGAGCGAGCCGCGGGGTGAGACCGGTCCAGCCCTCAGAGGGCGAGCCTGAGCTTTTTCAACCTCCGTCGGCCCTGAAAGCTGCGCTCACGGAGGCCCTGAAGCGGCTGCTATGGCGCAGGAGAGGGGAAGGGATGGGAAGAGCATGACAGAGTCAGTCCTTCGTGGAGATATGTTGGCCACAGGGCCGTCTGCAAGGATCCCAGGACTTCTTCGCGGCACGAAGCCCACCACGGAGATTTTACCAAGGCAAATACGGCAGTACCGTAGATGAAGGACCATACTTTAGCGGGAACCGCCCACATGCCAAGACACTGTCTTCTTCACCTGGCTTCACAAGGTTCACGAAATGCTGCAAGCATTTCATGCTCTGCCTGTGCGCTTGTTCGCCTGCAGGTCCCGCCAGCCTTGCGAAGACCCATGGACTGCTCATTTTCGGAGATGCTTTTTGTCCTGATATACAGGGGAAATGGGTGGAGCATGTCCGTCATTGGAGTGGTGCAGCTATGTGAAGTCGCCACTATGGCCTGTGGTTTTCTTAGGCAGTCGGAGTGAATGGAATCGGCTTGCCCAATGCATGCAAGATTGCAACACTCAGGTCACATCCGGAGGACTGTCTCGGCTACGTGTGACCAGGTCGCACAGAAGGAGCTTGGAATTTGCCATGTTTGTTTGCAGCACTGCGTTGGAAAACGATTTACTCGTTTGCCACGTTGGCTGGTGCTCGCATCTTGTGAAAAATGGTGGCGTTATGTGGCGGAAGTGTTCCTTGCGGTTCCATAATATGGGTTGGGATTATTTGGGATCTTCCCCCTTATACTAACAGTCCTTAATAGGGATCATAACAGGGCGTACTATAATCCCTATTAAGGATTGTTAGTTTTTTAGGGGGAACATCCAAAAACATGGGCGTCATGCCACCTCTTATTGTCGCCCCGTTGAGCCGAGGCACGCCTTCCCAGAGTTTGCCGCGCCCGGATGAGTCATGCGACAAAATCAGGGGAAGTTGACAACTCGACTTTGAGCTTCAATCTGCGAGCTTCTCTTGCATGGGCCATGACGAGCCTTGTCGTATGCAAAGTGTAGACTCATGTGACGCTTTTTTCCGAACAAACACAGCTAAGCCGTGGCAGAACTAACCTACCTACAAAGACTCATGTGACGCGCAGGGAACCACAAGTAACCCAGTTTCCCGCCCCGGCCGGAACAGAGACGAGCAAAGCACGCCGACGACACGAAAAAGCAACATGAAACAACCCCTCGTAGCCAGCCAGGCTAGTGAGCCTTCTCCAGCAACTCCCGCACAACCCCGTTGAAACCAACAATCTGTTCGCATCCTCGCGAAGCAATGGCGGACGAAACCCTGACGGCCGTCCAGCAGTTGCGAGCGGCCATTGAAGAACAAGCCCTTGACATTCAACGACTCCTTGCAAGACACACGCAGCTGGAACAGCAGCTGCAAGGCTTGGAAGGACGCGTGGTGCCCGAGGCTGAGGCCCCTGAAATCGCAGGACGTTCTATCAATGGCCGGCCTTCTCTGGATTCTGTGAAGTCTGCTACTCCTGCAAACGCAGGGGCAACGGCACCAGTAGCCGAGCCGCTGTCCAAGAGGTTGGCCAAAGCTATGCCCCAGCTCAGGGAGAGTCCGTCCGGGCAGTCGCATCCGAAGCAAGGCAGGGATGTCTGCGTCGACGCAATCGACTTGCTAGACGACGTGGTTGAAGAGGAGGGCATTGAGCAGGAAGAGCAGGAGGAGGAGATGGAGCCACAGGTGGAGATGGAGCCACAGCTCGGCCCTTCCATCACCTTTGCAGCCACTTTTCGCTCTTGGGATTCCCTGGCATCACTGCTGCAAGCGGCACCTTGCTTGCGATGGGATCTGCACGGGTTCCACGATTCCACGGCTTGCCCTGAGCTCAGGCCGGCTTCCGCACGGCCGTGGCCACCGCCTTCACTTGCTCGGAGCTGTCGCGGGGAGTGAAGGACGCGGCATTTGCCTTCCGCCAGTGGCTCCCTGGCATGCGCGGGAAAGCTTCATGGGTCTTCGTTTTTTTCCTTTCTTCCTGGGATGTCAGATCTGGAGCCAGTGTGGAGTATTTGTATGTTCAGGTTCCCCTCGCGGGTGCTGGTGATGGGCGGAATCTCCACCAATCCTGCCCGGAGCATGTCGTCAACAGAGGCTCATTTCAATCGTCCGGTCGGTGGGGTCAGGGTTGTGCGTAGATAGCTGAAACGAACATGCGCGGCTGCCCCTTGTCGCCTTGAGCTGCACAGGTCTTTGACCCACGGCGCGGCTCCTGGGACACTGGCCCTTCACTTCTGGAGCCTAGAGGTGCCAGAAATGCCTGGAAATGCCGAAAAAACGCGAACAAAATTTTCTCTGAAGACCCTTCTAAATTCTAAATGTGAAGGTCCCTCGGGCCGCAAGCCACTTGTTGGACCCTCTGTCATGTGCTAGGGACAGTTGGAAGGCCAGGGCCCTCATTAAACGGTCACCCCTAAGAAAGGAGTTAGTAAGCTGACCGGGGAGTAGTTAAGAAAGCCACCTGCTCTGGGGGACCTGCACACATCGCAAGCTGCTGAATAGGCGGGCAAACTTGACCGCCTTACAGGGCACCCCACCAAGGAGTGTCCAACAGTCTAACATCAACCCAACATGAGGCACAAGGGTGTGTGGAGCTGTGACATGTGCCGGAAGCATCTTGGTGCCACTTGAGCAAGACCATCAGGGCATGCCGCCGTCGTGTGCAGCGCCGGCGTGGTGTACGTCATAGGTGGGAAGGCCAGGAACTTTTTGCTGCATGTTCCTGGAGTTCTAGCAGCCACTTCAAATCCACGCTTTGGGGAGTGATCGCCCGCAGGCCTGTGCTGGTATGTGCTAGTTCTCAAAAATGCTAGAAACATCCGTCATCATCAGCTGAGCGTAAGAGAGCAGCGAGGGAGGCCTTGTATTATTCTTTGTGCCAGCAGCTTGGTTGGGCTCCTGTTTGAGACGGTCTCTATGCGCCAAGTCGATGTGTCAGGATGGGAACCGAACCCTTGCTTCGGTGGAGCAGTGCGCCTGTGAATACTCGAGATTCGCACTTTCAGCCGTGACCGGTGCTTGAAGGAGAGGTTTGTGAACTTTGAACCGATCAGGTACTGTGTGGAGACAAACATGTGGAGAAGCGCGTCGCCATCTCAGAGCCTTCAGCTCTGGCATAAAGACGGAAAATTGCAAGCTCATTGAATATGGGAGTGTCATCAGTCATCGTACGATGTACTCAAGGAGCCAAGATTGTTGGATGTTGGTCGTGTAAACACCCGCAAACACCTCGCCCCCCCCGCCCCCCATACCTGCAACATCCCGCAACCTAGAGAAATACATGCATCCGTGCAGTCGTTCCTATGCCTGCTGCCGGTTGCCATACGAAAGGCCAGCCTTGACGGTCCCTCGTTGGGGCGCGGCCGCGCGTCAGCTCCGAAGTGAGGCAGATCACGAGCCATCAGGGTTGTGCGTCCAGCAACAACGAGTTCACAGCCCGCCGCCAGGTGTTTGTCATGGGTGGCTGTGGGGACACCGAAACACTTCAGAGCTGTGAGAAGTTGCCCAGGTCCGCGCTTCGTTGCAAGTCGTTATTCGATGTCATTCATTGTTAGTGGCTGGCCTGGGGACACGTTCCCCAATCCATGCATGTACTTCAGAATAACCCCGCAGATTCCTACAGTCAGCTGCACCTACGAATCTATTTTTGGGTGTGAGCAGGCATACTCATACTCGTTTCTGACGACTTCGCAGGTCCATCCAAGGCAGTGATCATCACTGGCAGCCGGTGGGAATCTCAGAACCAACGACAACAAAACACCCGTGAGCATTCTTGGCTTTCTTGGCGGTTACCATTATGAGAAGGCGCCGTCTTTGGTCCAGCGCAGGGCCCACTCCGCCGCAGCTGTCGGGTTCCTACGACTGCTCGGGATTGCCAAGCGGGTGATGGCCTTTCGAACCCTCAGGTCCTGGACGGCAGTCTCTTCGTGGTAGGAGGCCCTGCATGCGTGCCTTCATGGCCATGCCACCTTGCGAGATATGCCTCTGAGGCGAGCTAGTGTATCGTTTTTCGGCTTGTTTAAAACCCAATTGCCAATTGCAGTTGCCTCGCCATTACACGCATTGCGCATTGCTGAAAACCATAGACCTAGACGGCAGCAAACATGCCCTCATCGGCTCCTCAGCATTTTTTGGCTCGGGTGGACGCGGCGGAGCCTCGGCGCCCCGTCCCCCTCGAGCCGCACAACGACCGAAGGCCGAGAGAGCTCCAGGATGTCTGATGATTTAAAGAATTCAGGTCGCTTATGCTTAGGGCTTCCAGGCCAGATGCATGACTCAGAAAGCCTTGGATTTTCTGTGCAGCAAGGGGTCGGGCAGGCAATGGTGGAATCTGAATCCCCACCAGCCCCTGATACAACGCTCAACTGCGCACGCCCGAGCCCCACTCCCAGATCGTGGCGCTGCGATCTTACGCGGCCTCCGAAGGCTTGGGCACCTTTGGAGATTTCTGGAGCCAGGGCTTGCAACAGTGGTAGGCGCCCCATTGTTTAACTCGTACGAAGGAAGCCTGACCAGGCGCTGGAAGGGGCAAGGGAGACCGAAAAGTTTTGAGGGCACAGAGTGTGCCCAGCACCCTGACGGCAAGCTTGGAATTACGTGGGATCCTGACCTCGAGATAACATCTCTTGACGTCAACACTTCCTTCTTGTAGCCGAGGTCTGATATGAAAAGGCTATGGAAGTGGGTTTTGAAGCAGACGGAGCCTGAGAAGTCTAGGGCTCTTGCTCCCCCGAATCTCAAGAGCTTCAACCTTCGCTGTGGTGTTTCGCGTGGTCCCAGTCTCTAGTGTTGAAGGCTTCAAACTCAAGACTCGGGGGCTGTTGTTGCAGTTGCACAGGCAAGCTGCAGGCCAGCAATCCCCACAACTTGCTCATTCTGTGTGCAGCTACCCTTGCCTAGGTGGTGGATAATGACGATCGGATGGTACATCTGCGCCGTTGCTGTAGCCGCTGGCCTTGAGCTGGAAGGCTGGGCTCAGAATGGAATTTGGGAGCCTCACCATTGAGGTCGTTGCTGTCAAGCACGAGAAGCACAAGTCCATGCTGAAACTTGGTCGCGTGCTCGTCAGGCTTTGCACGGCGCAACATTTCAGTTCCTTACATCTTGCCTATCAGCTTTTCGTCTCTTCTACAGCCTGTGCAGCCAACCGCAGTCCCAACGACAAGGACTTGCATTGCCAACCTGGCCATCGGCTGGCCGTTGGTGGCGCCCCTCGCTTGCTGGAAAGGCATGCGGAATCTGCGTGTCCATTCCAGCAGCAAGGCAGCAGGCAGAGAGGGGTGAGGGAGGTCGCGGGGCGATAGTTCGGCACCGAGCACTTTCTGCAGGATTGGACATAAGGTGGAAAAAGGGCAAACCTGTGGCCCCCATCTGGTTGAGGCTTGCGCCTGCCAACCCGAAAGTCCTGCATAGTTGTATGTACACCCCGGCCCTTGAGTCCAGGCATTCAGGAACACACCCAGAACATCTCAAAACCACAACACTAAGGCAAGGTGATGGCGATCGCAGTCCTGGCAGGGCTGGAGAGGAACTTGACCAACTCCTCCATGTACAAAATCGGAGGCAGTAAAAAACGGGGGCCGTACTTGGCCGCCTCTTATCATGAACTCCGCTCGCCAGGTTCCCTGAAAACAGCCCTGCACGGCTTCAATGTGCCCTTGGCCTTCTTCATGGCAGCCCTGTGTGGCGTGGACGAGTTGGGGCGGAGCTGTCTGCTTGGGTCGCCTGACTGAGCTCGCGTGTTGGGCTGGATAGTCAATGGTGGCTTGTGCTGTCTCAACTTCTTGGGGCATGCAAGTTGTCTTGTGCCATGTTGCATAGACACCGATTTGATTCGGGGGTGCGTTGGCTGTCCACAGTCACGAATCACCGGTGCCAAAGATTTCATGAACCTTAGGCCTTAAGTTCTCAACAGTTGATGGGGGCTTCAGCTGTCAGGTGCGGCTGCAGGAACAACCTGCTGTTGACCCTGGCGCTCCTCCTCATTTCCGGGGGCTCCATGGTCACCGCCGCCATTGGTGATGGCTCAGGCCTTCCCCTGTAGCTAGCGGCAACAACTCAGGATGGAAGACACAACCCTTGGTATGGCATACGCCGTACGACTACAACGCGCACGCTCTTCCCCCACAAGCTCCTTCCTCACTCACCCCACAGGTCCTGGTGTTCTTTTTTCCTCCCCTATCTGCGATCTGTTTTTGCACATGGCGCTTCTTCAGGTGGCTCCTGGCATGGTGACCTTTTGGGCATCTTCCTGCAGGCCTGACATAAGTCTCCGAGTTTCAGACGTGTTTCGTTCAGGGGACCAACAGCACCCAACAGCAACACAAACCGGGCCATGTTCTTACTTCACTTCTTGATTCGCAAGCGGATGTTGTCGCAGCTGTTCTACAAGCTTGCTGTTTATCATGCGAGGCTGGGTTCGATGAGTGTCTGCCGACAGGTCTCCTCCAGCGTGGCCTACGCCCTCAAGTTTGCTGTGGCCAAGATGCTGCTCCTTATCAGAAGTGGTCGCAGTGAACACGCAGCGGCACACGAAGCAATACGAAGCAGGGGATGGACCATGAATCGCTCGAGTCCGTGCACATCTGGACCCTCAACCAGTCTCTACACCCCCGCGTCAGATGAACTACTCACACGGGAGGGTGTCCGTACTAGAAATAAATCAAACGACTAAAGCACACCCAAAGCCATCTAAGCCATCTCAGTTTCTGTCATGTGCTTGCAAAGTGCAATGGTGCCTGCCAAGCTCGGTGTTCTCCCCACGGGTGCCTTTTGGTTGTGCCCAACTTGTCCTGCTGTATGACCAGGGTCTGCTTGCAAAGGCACGAGCCGGTGCTTCCGCGCTTCCTGCTTTGTGCCAGGTTCAATTCTGGAGATCCAGAGAATGCCATGGGCGTGGACCCAGGCTCTCTCCCTCCGTCGAAGGTCCAGATAGCCTTTGTGGTGAATCCGATCACAGGCCCGTGGATTCTTGTGGGCCTGGTCTCGGGTTTGATCTAGACTCGGCAACACGGTGGGCCTAGGCATGTATTCAGAAGGGGGCCATTGCAAGCTCACCCTACAAAAAGCTTCCCATCACAGGCTTGATGAGCCTGCTCTTCTTGCCTTTCTTCGAGAGCAACTTCGAGCTTCCAGCTGTGGACACGACCATAGTGGTCGGCATTTGTGCCACAGGCATATTAGTGTTCGAGCTGCTTCTGACAGAGCTAACATCCCCGCTCACAGTGTGGGGACCTCAGAATGAATTCTGGTATGTCAGGCTGCAGGCCATGTGTCCGACACAGGCATGGTGCTGCAGTAAAGTAGGTAAGGTTGGAAATCTGAGAAGAGAGAATGCCTTTAGGACCTGTCGAGTCTGTAGAGGCCTTGCAGAAACTGCCGTGAAGTTGTCATAAGGTCTGTCTTAGGAGTGATGCACAACGTGGTTATTGTTGGCTTCTTCACGCTCACGGGGGAGCACCTGAGCACTGGGCAGGCACAGCTGCACAACTTACCAGCAATTGCTTGTCTATCGCATAGTCAACACGTGGCCTCATTCCACCATGCGTACGCCGAGCGCATCATGCCGATTTACCTCCCTCAACCTCAACCTGCTAGATTGCCGGCTTCACCGTCTCGACGGCGGGCGCGATCTGTTATGCATGCGCTCGAAAGCGACAGGCATGCTGCGTGTTGGCCAGATGCAATTCGGGGAATCCATTGTTTTTGCAGGGTAAGCAATTCCGATAGATTCTATGTATGAATTTCATGTTCACAGCTGCTCCGCCTTTGCTCATTTGCTCGGCTGCTTGCCTGATGAATCGGATCAGACTTTTCCGATCTGCGAGGCCAAGCGAGGTGGGCTCCTCACTTCGAGAGAAGAGGACCACGCACAACGTTCGGGTTTGTCCTTGCGCCGTAACCTTCCTTTTGCATTGCGAGATCAACTCAACTGCACAGGAACTGGTTTTGTTGACCATAACTAGAGACCAACTTGAATTTCATTTATTTGTGCATGCAGACTGTTCAGTAAATCCTGCGTCTGCAGGAAATGCGGCGAGCAAACTCTGGTGTCGAAGAGGGCTTTGAAGAGTTGTAGCCTAATGCAGGCTCCCAATGACACAGTACTGCCATCCCCATGCCTCCCGATCAGCAATCCTATCTCTAAATTTTAGACTAGGAACTAGGAATCACACACAACTAGCTGCACCCCTGTGCGCACGATTGCGCTGCTGGTCGTTGTGCGTGGACACTGCGAAGCAGTCCAAAGCACATTTAGACAGCAGAATAGCTATGCCCAACTGAGGCAAAAAGAAGCACCATGCTGCACTGCAAAATGTCCGTTTTTTCAGGTCAGTCTTGCGGGAGCCAAAATACATCCTGCAGGCAGCAACGGCTCTGAGATGACCTGGACAGCCGAGCGTTTCGACGCGGAGGCACTCTAAGCTCAATACTTGTGGTTGTGGCTACACAGGCCTCTTCACAATGTCATATGATGACTGCGTGTCATGCTGAGGCATTCTGCTGGACCATCGAGCCGGTCCTGCCGCAGGCAGTTGGGCTTTTGGGTGCCGAGTCTTCGTAGGCATTTGTCGCCATTTGTCGCATCTTTGTTGCGCATTCCTCAGCACGACCTCCTGCAAGTCGGAGGATTGTTCCTGAGTGCCCCCAATTCATGAAAAGCACGTCGCCAAGACGAGTGTGCCTCGAGATGAGTATGAGAATTTCGTGCCGAAACCACGACCTTTCGGCTTCACTGAGCCCACTGGCCAGCGCATGTCGGTACGGGTATGTCTGGCCGCATCTTGCTGCGTTGGCCTCGGAAAGTTGGGCCTGATGTTGAGGTGCCTGTTCGTGTGGGGGCAACCCTTGCCTGCGACTGAGTTCTAGTACCCCCGTAGGCTGCTTGAGCGTCCTGTGTACTCTACACGATTCTCTTTTGCGGGGTGTAGGAGCATGGCATGATGGAGCATTCGAGTGTGCGGCTTGATCCTTGAACAAAGGTGTGGAGCCACCTTCAGGGGCTGGCTTGGGCCTTGAGCACACCCATGTTCGTGGCTTTCTGCTCGAAGTCCTCGCCGCCCCAAGCAGGAGGGTTGTGATACCACGGCTGGGATACAAGCGAGGTGTCCATCGGTGGTGTGGTTGGGGGGCAATCCTGCCCAACAGCCTCCACAGAATGCATCGGGCTCAGGGAGGCATTATTCAGTTTAGGGTTCAAGAATTGGGTTCCTTTGAGGTTGCATTTGCATGCACATCCCCAGAGCACGGCAGAGAGTTTCCGTTCGAGTGTCCGAGCACCTGCCTGAAGGCTTGACTCTTCAGCGCCATGGGGAAACCATGTGGCTCCAGATTCCAAGCTGGAGGATGCCACAATGACATGTGCGTGTCATTTTGTTTGGGGTTGTGGGCCAGTATGGGCTGTCTAACAGGTGTTTGTTCCCAGGGCTTCCTGGGAAAGTTGTATTCTTGAATATGATACGAACTAACCAGCAGATGGCTGGATTGTAGAGCGTGTTGAAAGCCGAGAGGGTATAACCAGCTCCAAACTGCGAACCACGTTTAGTGGCCGCTTGAGGCCTGCAGAGAGGTGTAACCCCGTTTTGGCGATCTGAGGCGATCTTGTAAGCTCAAACTCAGCTTCAGGAAAGAGGACGCAACAGATAGATGGAAATCTGGTGGTAGTTGCCAGACCAGCGTTTGTCGTCATCTTCGAAGTCTTTATGAACATGTTCAGTCAAGAGCAGACGTGACGTGTTCGGATCCTTACGTTTTGTTGATTTCTCACAAGTTTTTTGTGCATGCGTGCACACCAACAATTTTGTAACGTGAGTGGGTGATGGTATCGGCGTTGTGTGGGAGTGCTGCAAAAGTAAGCCGAACCAAAACGCTTCAGTAGCTTGAAGATAGAAAGTCACCGTTCAGTATAGCATGAAGACTTAGCACGATGCACCATCAAAAGAGGAGAGACTTCACCTGATGTCAATCTCAATGGTGAACATAACTATGTTGCGAAACAATATAACGTCATAACGTAACATAATGCATAATCCTGTTCACCCCTGCATTTTTAGAAGCGTGCATGAACTCGACAAATTTGTTCTGGATTCTCCCTCGGTTGCGGGACGGTTCTGAGAAGGTCTGGGCAAAGCAGGGTGGGATCCTCATCGTGCCCAAAGTACCAAGAAGTTTGCCTGCGTGTGAGGCTGTCCTTTGGTGGGCTCTTGGGGAAGGTAGGGAATGTGGAATCGGAGGGTTGGCCCTACTTTAGTCCTTACAACGACCATGCTCCGTGGGCTGCATGTCAACCTTCTACAGACTGGCTTCTCTTTTTAATCGAAGCTCGGTAGTTTGATTGACATCCAGGATACCTCGACTGGCACCAGCAGTTGCCACTTCCACGGAGGCTGTCTTCATGGCTCGATCGCTTCGGACTTCTACGGCACGTGCCGATCAAATTGCGGTATCTTCTGACAGTTTGATGGAGACTTGAACTTGCAAGTGGCACATGCTTATGCCTTTTCCGGGCATAGTTTGCTGGGGTCAGATGCCAGGGAAATATCTTTGTCATGGGTGGCAGCCACAAGAAAGAGGCCCCTGCCTCTGTGATCCTTGCTCTGTGTGAGTGTGCCGGGCTGAGTTTGCCGGAAGGACCTGGTTGTAATATGTTTTGGTCAGGCTTCCAACTTCACCGAAATGTGGCTGCAAGAGCAGCAGTGCTGGCGAGCACTGTCCCAAGAAGAACTGCTGGCATTGTTCAGGGCTGCTGGTAGTGCAGGCTTTGAGGTGCGGCGAGTCGTTCAACATGATTCATGATGCTTCTTGCTGGCACGATGTCGCCACTCAAAGCCTTTGTTGAGGAGCTGCCACCAATGCTGGCTGCCCGCGAAGGCGCCTTTGCTGCGGTACTTCGGTGATCTCAAGGATTCACATGCGCGACCGTTGAGCGGGCTTGCCTGGGAAAACGTTGGTGCTTCGCGGGTCAGCAGCACAGACAAGATGAACCATTGCACCGTTGATTCGTATGCACATCGTCACCACAGCAAGCGGCCGGCTGTAGAGTTGCGAGACAGGAAGGGAGTACTGGGATTATCTGACCTGGAAGATGCTTCATTGCTGCTTGCTTGACTCGTTGACGGCCGGCGCCCAATGCCACAGTCCTGCAGAGAGAGTATCAAGTTGGCATCGTTTGGAGTTGGAGCATGAGCATCTGGCGGTATCCTGTTCGATCCTTTCGTTACTCGGCAGCCCAAGTAGAACCCCTCACACCTTAATCGAATGTCAATGGTGGCTTCATGCAGCGACCAGAGCCATGCGCATTGGCTGCTGCTTCAGCTGCTGGACCTTCCTGTGACCTCGATCATGTTCGGAAAGGCCTTGCGGAGCAGGATGCCTGTATGAGTGGGCCCGCTGGATGAGTAGAACGCCCGTGGATGTGAATGATTGACGTAGACGGGCCAGTCTTGGTTCAAGCCATGAGGCGCTCGCAGAGCAGGCTGAATTGTAACTCAGATTGTCTTTCGGGTCTGGGTGGGGGTGCGAGGTACCTGGTGCTTCTGCCGTGCGAAGAAGCGTATCCACTGATACCACGATTGACGCTCGAGCGGGCGCAGGTTCGGCAGTTGCAAGCAGTGAGATGGGAACTCCATCAAGCACTGGCACCGTATCCGTATCCTGGCCGAAGGTGAACACGACAACACACAACAACACAGCACCACAACAACACAACAACGCGGCAACAACGCAACAACCCAACAACCCAACAACACCACACAACAACACCACACAACACAACACAACACAACACAACACAACACAACACAACACAACACAACACAACACAACACAACACAACACAACACAACACAACACAACACAACACAACACAACACAACACAACACAACACAACACAACACAACACAACACCGCACAACACCGCACAACACCGCACAACACCGCACAACACCGCACAACACCGCACAACAACACCACACAACACACCAACACCACACAACACAACACAACACAACACAACACACCACACAACACAACACGACACGACACAACACAACACAACACAACACCAAGCAACACAACACCACGCAACACAACACAACACAACACAACACAACACCGCACAACACCGCACAACACCGCACAACACCGCACAACACCGCACAACACCGCACAACACCGCACAACACCGCACAACACCGCACAACACCGCACAACACCACACAACACCGCACAACACCGCACAACACCACACAACACCGCACAACACCGCACAACACCGCACAACACCACACAACACCACACAACGCCACACAACACCACACAACACCAGACGACACCACACAACACCACCACGTGACACGACACAACACAACACACCGCACCACACCACACTACACAACAACACACAACAGCACAGCACACCACAACACAGCACAGCACAGCACAGCACAACACAACACAACACAACACAACATCACTCTACACCACACCACACAACACAACACAACACCACGCAACACAACACAACACCACACAACACCGCACAACACCGCACAACACCCCACAACACCGCACAACACCGCACAACACCGCACAACACCGCACAGCACAGCACAGCACAACACAACAGCACAACAGCACGCACCCACGCGCGCACGCGAGCACGCGCGCACGCCCGCACGCCCGCACGCATGCACGCAAGCAACATAGACACAACACACACGCTCAATAGACACAACCCACACACACACATACAATAGACACAAGACCCACACACAAAATAGACAACACACACACACACAACAGACCACCCCCACACACACACACACACACACACACACACACACACACACACACACACACACACACACACACACACACACACACACACACACACACACACACACACACACACACACACACACACACACACACACACACACACACACCCCCACACACACACACACCACACACAGACACACACAGACACACACAGACACACACAGACACACACAGACACACACAGACACACACAGACACACAACAGACACACACAGACACACACAGACACACACACAGACACACACAGACACACACAGACACACACACACACAGACACACACAGACACACACAGACACACACACACAGACACACACAGACACACACAGACACACACAGACACACACACAGACACAACACAGACACAACACAGACATACACAGACACACACACACACACACACACACACACACACCCCACAACCCACACCCACACCACGCACGCACGCACGCACGCACGCACGCACGCACGCACGCACGCACGCACGCACGCACGCACGCACGCACGCACGCACGCACGCACGCACGCACGCACGCACGCACGCACGCACGCACGCACGCACGCACGCACACACACACACGCACACACAGAACACACACGCAGAACACACAAGCACAACACACACCACACACACCACACACACCACACACACCACACACACCACACACACCACACCACAACACACAACACAACACCGATTTAGACACTAGACTACTAGCGATGACAAGTGGGAGTGATCGACGTCGTGGAATCCCAGACTCCGAGCGTTTTGGAGATGGAACGGCAACACCGCAGCACGAGCATCAAGTCCCAACCCAACCCGGAGCAATCCGAAAGAACCGTTGAATCCTCACCTGGCTGAAGAGTGACCACGCCCTGCCTGTTAGCCCCTTGGTTGCAGAAGCCGGTCTTCGGTAACGCCAGTGCTGTGTCTGCAGCGTGGCAGGCTGCCGAGCTTCATCTCAGAGTGTTGACGGTTGGGCTTTAGGGATTGTTTCGGCCTGACCATGTTCTTAGTGGAGGGGGGAGGGGGGTGAAAGACTCAAGGCACTGAGTCACTAGGCTCCATTGGTGCTTCATGAGAACTGCTGGTAATGATTGGTGATGTGATGTCTTGTTGTGGCTTTCTGAGCTGAAGGCTTCAGGGCATTTCCAGACTTCAAGGTATCGTGAACTCAGACAAGGACCGTCGGATCCTGCAAGGAGATTTCGGCCTTGGCCAGGGATCGATGTTAACAAACCAAAACCATATCTGGAGCAGAGTATGCAGAGAAGGAAGTTGAGCCTCGTCCTCGAAAGGCTGAAATTGCAACAGACAGGTCGCCACTTTCAGATTGCGGGTTTGCAAGTAACATTTTCTGTAAGCCATTGCGTTAGCCTTTGTACCTGCCTTGGAAGCGACGATGCCCAGCATGTATTGTTGCCTGTCCCTTCCTCATCTTCAGGTACAAACCCGAAAACAAAAATGACCAAAAAGGTGTCATCGACCTACCGTTCGCGCATCTTACCGGGGTTGTGCGAGTTGCTTTGCGTTGACAGCACCTGCCCCGTGGACGGCAGGCGCAGGTCATTGGAGCGAAGCGCCGGGCACGGAAGGCAGGTTTGGCATGACTCAGCAGTGGCCATGCCCCCGTCGCGGCAGCCTGAAGATGGCTGAAGAGTACCCCTCATATAGACCCCAAATAGTAGGGTTCCCTTAGAATAAGCGCATGAGTTCTCTCCACTTGTTTGGCCAGGCTGGCAGCCGACCCTGGCGGCCCCACTCGCCGCTGGCAGTGCCAGAAGCTGGGCTTCAGCATGAGATCGACCTGCCCGGAGCACTTCCCCCACTCGGGTTGAATGCGCTGTAGGGCTTTCTGGGTCAAGCAAATGGAGAGCAGGGAGACAGACTGGCTGAGCATCACGATGAGCAAACCTTGAAACACAACGAGGCGGCCTCCCGGCTAAAGAGAATTCATGCAGTCAAGGCTTGGGGGCTTCGGAGCCTCGTGAAAAGTGCTACGACGCCAGAACGGGACACGCAACGAAGCCAAAGCCAAGCTTGGGCACCACCACTGTGTTTGTTTTTGCATGGTTTTGATCTGAGGCCTGGTTAGGTTGCAGGTCGAGGGCTCCATGTAATGTCGCTTATACTGAGAGATGAATTTGAAACTTCCTGCCTGGCAAAGATAGGGTTTTGTAAAAGTTTTGTATGTGAAGCGCTGTGTACTCAGCCCAGACCAGCTTTGGCGCGGCAGAAGAGGCAGAGCTGTGCCTCAGCATGCAAAATGAGATCGTCGATCCGATGATTTTCGAGATCTAGAAAGGTGGTTTTGCAGCTGTGGGCGGTGCTTTGTCCTCGGCAGATGTGAGTGTCCGGGAGGTGTATGATATCTGCAAACCTTGAGTTCACGTGAGGCCACGATCCGGTACGGCCCTAGTCGTCTACCCCGCGCATGATTCAAGCGTGGCCGTCAGTGACCTGTCGATAAGAGTATATGTCAAGTCCATGCCGTTGTCCAGTGATGTGGGTTTCACGTGAGAGTACGTGAAGACTCATGTCTATGGGAAGGGCAGCAGGCGAGAAGTCTGGGGTTTGAGATCGAGGGGCTTTGCAGCATCCAGTGCCCTCGTACATTCGTGTCGCCGGAGTTGTTCAATGCATTTCAATTGACCTTGTCAGGTATTGATGGACGCATCCAATGTGTATTGGAGCTGGAGAGGCTCTTCAGGGAACGATACTATTGGCCGCGCCTGCAGGCTCGTTCGGCGACGGTCAAACGCGTGGATGTGACTATACTGTAGCTGCTTTTTCTGGTGACATAGCATGGCAGCCATAGGCTGCTGTAGAGGCAGAGTTGAGCAGAGGTGGGCGCAAGCACTTTGTCTGGATAGCTTTCCCAATGCGCAGGACACCGCTTATGTGTGGAAAATGGCCCTGCGCTTTGTGAGTGACCGGTGTGTTTGCGAGACTGAGTGCCCAACAAGCCACTTGGCGTGTTGGAATATGAGGTGGCAGAGTCGTTGCATCATCGTCAGTCTAACCTGTTCTGTGGAGTTAAGAACGCAGTTCGCGGTGAAGGAAAGCACTAGTCAGGTTTGGGCAGCTGAGGCTTTGACTACGGTGCCGTGGTCCTCTTTTCGTCAGATCCCGCAACAGATCGAGCGGAATACGCTCGGCTGCCTCTCATTGTCGAGAAGGCCAGAAGCTTAGGCCTGCGAAAGTTCGTGGAGCTGTGCGATTGTAGTGGAGTGTGTGCAGGGCTTCATCTTGGCGATCTTGTCAAGCAAACGAGGTCTTCAAAGTCCGGCAGTGGCGACTTATTGACCATCATGAAGCTCATGCGCGAATGAGTTTCTCAGACTCAGCACGAGGAAGTCCAGTGAGAGTGATGTAGCCTCCCTGCAGACAAACTAGAGCCAAGAGCTTAAAGGACCAGAGCCGGGAGAGCTTCTGTCTGAAAATGGTCCCCCCTCCCCCCCCCCCACCCCCGAAGATTACAAAATGGAGCCAGCGTCCCCAAAAAGGGGGGGGGGGGGGGCACATGATTTAAAGCGCCGCCATGTCCCGGCTTAAGCCGGCAGACTTGTCTGTTGTGAGGGGTCGCCCTGCTGAACGCTGAACTCGGTGGAACATGATTACCCATCCCTGGCATTCAGGCTTCCATGACTCGCGTTTGAGCTCTGCGGTGATCGTGAGCTTTGACGGCAGTGGCAATGATGGCACCATGGCGACAAGGCACAAGCACGTACTGCAAGTTCAAAGGCCGGTACACATGAGCCCCCCAAAATTCTCGGCCAATCCTTGGGTTGTTTTTGGGGGGGCCATGATCAGGGCGCATCCTGTGAGGGACCAGTGGAGAAACAAGGTCCCGCAGGCCCCATGATCGGCAGTGGGCACAGGGTTTAGGGTTCAGGTGTCGGGGTTTTTTGGGGCTCGGGCAGGTGGTCTCGGAGGGGCCCGCCTAGCAAAAGCTCGATGCCTGAGCAGCTGAAAATGCAAACTGATGAACGGAGGCCTGAGATCTCGATCTGAATTCCAAGTCTGCCCAGACGGGTTGGAGTTCGAGTCTGGGGTCCACTTTAGGGCGTAGGGTTTATGAGTTAACCCTGTGATCTTGAACGGCAGAAATAGCTCTAGTTCTGTTGCTTATGACTTTACTTGCACCTACCCATGACCCTCCTAGTAAGCGCTGCTCCGCTTGCATCGGACTGTTCAGAGACTGAAGCGTTTGGATCTCGGACATTGCTGAAGATCACGGTTTCGCATCATTGCCTTCGTGACGAAAGTTGATTGCTCGGTCGCCTTCGCCCCTGTTGCTGAGCTTTTGTCCCCCCCTGGGCGCAACTGCTTCTGTACTACAGTGGCAGTGGGGTGCCAACCTTTTCGATTCATGCTCTTTTTAAAGGGGCGGTTCAGAGGGAAGGTGCCAGTGGCTCGCCCAAGAGGCCGTTCAGCCCACAGCAAGCAAGAGTTAGAGAGACAGCTAGGCGGAGGAGCTCACTGTATTTCAGTGTCATGCCGTCCTGGCGCGTAATGTCTTGGAGTAAGCCTTGTGCTCGCACCGGACGGGACTGCGGCTCGCGGACGGAAGGAAGTACGGAAGGAAGGAAGGAAAGACTCCTTACATGCAGGTGCCCTGAAGAAGCCTCCCCCCCCCATGCGCATCCTTTGCTCCATCGACTTGTAAGGCACCTTCAACGTGTACTTTGGGAATGGGCGCCAGCTGTATCGACTGGGTCAACTTGGCATCGAGATTGGAACTCGCGACTTGGCAGCGACCGGTGAAAGTTCAGTTATGCAGAACAAAGCAGTCTGGCCAGCAATATCTGCTGAGCCCTTTGCCCTCTGCCCACTGCCCTCTGCCCTCTGCCCTCTGCCCTCTGGGTTTTGCCCTCCTCTGCCCTCGGCCCTCTGGTTTTTGGTCTGCTCTTCTCCCGCTTTCACAAACCCGCACCTGTGGAGAGCTATGTAAATGAAACTTAGGGGGCCCTAGCGCGAAGTGCATTGGAAAGGCAAGCGCACCGTTTCGCGGCAGGTCAGATCTAACATATATCATTCTAAACGAATGTCTGTGCACCTTGGCCCCTCCCACTGTTGCCACAATCAAACATCACGGGTGGGGTTCCCTGTTCCGCCTCAGATCTCCAAGGATATACAACCATGGCGGCGTTCATGACCCGTTGCGGCATTAACATTTTCGTTGTGGTCCAAGAGCGGGACATGCCTGAGGGTCGAAAGGTGGGTTGTGCCACTCGGACCCGGGGGGCTTGACACCAAAGGTCTGAAGTTGCTCACCACGATGTAGCGAAGTGCTGCAAGAACTTCGTTGAAAGAGCAACCTGGCATATTATTGACAGGGTGTTGCATGCTGCCCATGAGCCAGGGAACCTGGTCGTTTACAGGTGCGATACTTTTTTGTAGTGCTCAAGGGCAGGGTATAGAGTCCAGGCCGACAGGGAGCTGTTCGATGCACAGTCGCTGGTCAACTTGCACCACTTCAAGTTCAGCCTGCTGCTTGTTCTCTGTTTAAGGCAGGGTAGGCCTTGAAGCAGTTTCGGAGATCTTATTTGCATGGGCCGTTTGCTGGTCAATTGTGTCAAAAGCTGTTTTGATCTTGATGCATGCAAGTTCGCTTGGCACTCTTTTCTGTGCGGCTTGACACTGGCTATGTGCATAGATACAACGCGATTGAATGCTGAGTTTCTGTATTTAAAGGCTCGACCATCTGGGTTGGGCAGGGAAGATGATGGCCTATGCCGCCCCTTTGCCGAAGTGGGTGTTTGCTTACAGGTAGACACGTTGGTCCTACTGTAGCAAGTGAACAGGAGGCGCTTGCAGCCGTGGCTCATTCATTATGACCACGTCTGCAGAGTATAGGATGGCTGCGAAGCTCGACTTTAGCTGGCTGTGGTTCTTTCAAAATGCGGCCGCCTGTGAGGCCCTCGGGCCCCACTCCGCAGAGATGCATCAGTTGGTGAGATGGTGGCGTGGCTCATATGGTAGGGTTGCCGTAATCATGCGCTCGCCACAGCGGAGCGCATGGGGGTCCCATGAACTTTAAGGCTGGGGCATGTCCGACGCCTCTGAGGTACTACCGGAACAGCTCTGAGGGCACGGACTACATCCCAGTGCAGCTCATCCGCCGGGCATGTGAATCTCTGGATGGTCAGCGGTCTCTGGCGGCTGCAGCGCAGGCTTCCTGTCGAAAGAGTGCTGATTGCATGGACAGGCTTTGAATCGCAACATCCGCTTCTGAAGCATCTTAAATAAGCCTGGAGGACGATTGCGGGGTTTTGGAGACGTTTGGGGCAGCGTAAGGGCACTGATGCTAACCTCTGGATGGACTAGATTTGTCTGAGATCCTCAGAGCAGTCACCGCCTGCAACGGCCAGTTTCAGGATTGCCTCGCGGCACAAACAGCAGCTGTGAGTCTGATGCAGCCAGGCAGAGTTTGAGGAGTACGTTTTGGACTTAATCCGGGCTATCCTACAGGGCATCAGTGAACTCGGCTGCATCAAAAACGACTTGCCCTTGCTGACGTCTCGTCGCAAAACATGCAGCTCAGTGCAATTAGTGCACCACATGCGTGGCCTGGCAGACATGCAACGTGCAGACAACGAGACAGCACCTTGCGGCACGTTACCCTGCAATGAACATCTTACCACACAATAGTATGCTACAACAAACGAGGTGATCTTGGTATTCCAGATCCAGAAGGGCTTGTTCTTTCAGGCAGGGAAGTGGCAGACAAGCACCGTTGGAATGTGCAGGTTGCAATCCTATAGTCGGCCTACAGTTGACACAATTTGGAAGTTGCCATACAGAGTTGCCCGGAGCAGCTGCCGTAGGTGGATGCGCCTTGAATGTTCGAACGAACCAGCGCATCCTGGACGAAGTATTGGATTCTTGACAGAACAGGAGTTCACAATGTGTCTCAGCTTTGGTGTGGCCTGGTTCCTGAATACTTCTAGTCGATCTTCATCCCACCACCACCTTGTCCCCCACCGTAAACCTGGAAACTTGTTCCAAGCAGGGAAGAGCAGAGAAGAGCATTTGGGTCTCGATACCTCAACCCTAGCCCCGAGTCGGTGCTCCTGTCCAGAAAGGCCGGCAACCCTCCCCAAAGGCCCGCCTGATTCGCTTGAACTGCTTTGGGTTTGCTTGCGCTTTTCCTGGCAAAGATATGTTCAGAAAGCCATGCTCATGGTGTTGAATGCACCTAACTACAGGCCTCCAATAATTCTAGGATAGTAGAACTTAGCAGTAGAGTTTTGATGGAAACATGGGTCTGTTGCACAGCATCTCCGCAGAAGAACGTCTAGTTTTGCAGGAGGCTCGTCCGCCGGACAAGCGTATGGCTGCTTAGCTGAAGCGGGTCGAGAGTTGGTCTTGTGCTTGTCTTCGAGACCGAACTCAAGTCATGCAGCCAAGGGCTTGATAACATCACATGAGCAAAACCTTCAGCCTCTACGTGGGGTGAGACCTCCACCAAAATAGAAAAAGCGTTGAAACGAACGTGGGTGCACATGGAGTTGCGCAGTCCCTGCACGTCACCGCCGCGCCCAACGATTCGGGCCTTGCCGTGGGCGGCAGCTGGGCCATCGTTCCGCCGAGCAAATGGCAACCGCTCCAGTATGCCGCTCTCCTGAAGTCTAGCTCGGGAGGGATGCGCCGCTTGAGCCGTTGGAAACACCTCGTTCGCTGGAAGCTGAGATTGGCTATCATCTTTGGGTGTCTTGGCAAGAGGGGGAATCTGCTAAGGCGTTTGTGGGGCATTGCTTTACTGTGCTTGCTCTTTCCCGTAAGAAAGGCAAACTTCCCAGTCACATCACCCATGGCGGTGACACGTGGCTGTGTGATGCTGCGTGATTCTGTTGCCACCACTCCCAGCCCCCCCACACCACATGCACTCTGCCAGACTCTACCCAGGGACCCATGCATCATCACAGAGCCGGCTCTCAGGATTCGCCATTCCTGCAGGACCACGTCACGAATTGGGGCGCGAAGAATCTGGAGACCTTAGGTGGCTGTGGGTGCAGACATGTGCAGACACTGGAAACAAGGCCGTATGGCTTCTGGCATGAGCGCCTGTCGACACTGAAGTTTCCTCCTAGGTGGTGTGGAGTACCTAGCAGAGCTGTTGTCTGGCGGCCCGGCTTGGCTGGCGGAAAGAGGCAGGACACCGACTGATCACACAGCCACACAGGTGAGATGCCGCTGCTCTGCCTCTGTCATTGTCAAGTAAAAGTTCACAAGTACGTGAGGCGTCCTTTTAACCAAAGTACAGATGCTTTCAATCAGGCCTTTCCGCTGCCTTCATGGGCTCAATTCGGGATTGCTCCAAGGCCACGAGGCTGCCAAGCCCATCATTGGGGTCGTGCGGGATCGCCAGGACGACTCTTTTACCTAGTCGGACTCAGAGCGTTCTTGTCCACGGTACGGTTGTCGTCACCGTGAACCCACCAGGTAGAAACAAAAACAAACTACTCGTGATCAGGAGTTTGGGCCCAGGGCACTGGGCCATCGATCGCTGCTTGCAGTGCCAGACTCCGACGAAATGCGAGATCGCATGAATAGGCAGGCACATGTTACGTGAATGCTATGGAAGGGCCACCTTCCAGACTCGAGCTGCGCATCCTTCTCAGCGTTGGTTAACAAACTGCAGGCAGTACGCGTAATGCAAGTAGTTTGTGCAACATGAAACAAGCTTCCTCCGCAGAAAGTCATCCTACCCAAGCATTGTGCGCATGTTAAGAGCTATGCATAGCTTGATTCAACAGCCCCTGTCGCACATTGCCGCACTGAAGATGTGCATTAGTGAAGGCATCAGGAGTACTCCAGGCTTTCAAAGCTTGCCTGCACTAGCTCAGGTGGTGCGCTCGAGTTTTTTGCACTCTCACATCCCGGCTTGTGTCTCTGTCCAGCTGAGCTCTGAACCCTGTGATCAACCAACATCCCCAAAACAACTCAGTCCTTGTGATGAGTGTGCTGTTTCCTACTGCGACGCTTCGAAGCCTTGCCTGCCGCGTGCGAGTGCGAGAGTGTGTGTGTGTGTGTGTCTCGAAAAGCTCCAAACGGTTGGTGTGTTCGACGAAGACGCTGAGTCAATAGATGAAAGGAAATTCTGCGGGACCCATCTAAACCAATGACAAGGCAACCCGGGAAGCCTTCGAAGCATGAGGGGAACCTGGGGCAAGGCTGAAGTTCCGCCAGTGGTTCCGGCCGGTCGCCCCGATGATTGCAGAGGAAGCCCTCGAGGAGGTGTTTGGGCGGCCAGCTCCTGGGCCTCCTGTGGTTTTGGGATGTCTTGGGGTTCGGAGCTTCTTGGGATTTACCAAAGAGGTCAGCTTGGACAGGCCTGGGAGCTGGACTAGGACACTTGCGGTTGTAGGCCTGCTGGAATCTAACTTTGCCTTCCTGCTTCACTGTGACGAATGTTTGTTTTGGCTGAGAACTGGCCTGGCCGAGGGCTCACCATCAGCCCAGGTGAAGTCAACGTACATGACCATGGCGCCGCAAGTCCGCCCGGAGGTGCAGGGAGATGCAGGGAGTGGGCCCTTGATCTCAGAAGCGAGGTAGAGCTTAGACAGAGCGCGGACTTGTTTCGCAAAGTTTGGAGGTGGCTGTGTTTCAGGGGATGGGCAGTGGCTTCTCTGCTACTCTCTCCTGGGTTTGCTGTTACGACTCAACTCCTGAACGCATGACTGGACCGCCATGCTTTTTCACAAACTTGCAGCTTTGTTTTCCGTTTCTGCTCGTGTTATCGCCGCTGTTGCTGCAGCATCCACAAGCCGTCCCCTCTCGCACGAGGTGCTTGCAAAGTTCCCAGCCTTGTCCCACCTGGATGGCACCGCGCGTCACCAATCTGCGCCTTGACTTCCTCATGATGCAGCAAGGCGCACCCATCCCGCGTTGTTTCAGGATCCGTCATGCACAATGTGTGACCGCTGCGCAGCATATTCCTGGCGAAATGCATGCAATGGGTGGCCCCCGTACTTCCCAAGTTGTGGCTCCGAGCGGACTGTGATGAACCAACTGTGACTGATGTACTGGACCAGTCCTAGCACCTCTGTCGTTGTCGCCGTTGCAGCCCGAAAGTACTCCAATGCGCCTGGTGATCTGGGCAAAGAGGCGTTTAGTTGCCGCATAAGATTGAACCCAGAGAGCTAAGTCGCATTCTCTACGTGTCTAAGCAGGAAGGCGTAGAGGCCTCAAGGCCTTCCTTATCTTCCTTGCATCCTCAGGTCAGTCAGGAGGATGAGCCGTGGATCCACGCGCTGCTGCTGGCCGTGGGCCGTCGGGTGGGTCTTGCGGTTCCCTGGCGCGTTGAAAAAAGGGGAAGAGCGAGAGAGCGCCCGACGTTGGAGTTGGCTTGTTTGTCTTTGAGTACATGGACACTTTCCGGGGGGAAAACTGAAGGAGAGTGGAACGATCCGGGGGGACAGGGGGTCGGCAACGAAATCCCGCAACCACAGCGACATCGCCGTACAGTTGCGGGGGAAAAGGGTCGAAAAACACAAGCCCACAGCCACCTCGGCAACTACTACCAGAACAGTCCCGAGCAAAAGGGCACCTCGGCGTCTACCACCAGAACAGTTTTTTTTTTGGGGGGGAGGGGTCAGACAAGGCCACCAACAACCACTCCGGGTGGAAGGGGTCCAAAGCACAAGCTCACAACCATCTCGGCGTCTACTACTTGTACCAAAACAGGTGGGGGGTCAGAGAAGAGAATCAACAACCACGTCGGCCGTCGGCGTCTGCTACCGAACAGTCCCGGCAAAAAGGGGTCAGAGTGGAAGGCCAAGGCAGTGCGTGGGGGATCAGGCAGGCAACAGGGATGTACTGAAAAACTCCTCACTAGCAGTCTCTCCAAAAGCTGGGGGTGTATCTGACACACTGAGAAAGGACCACTAAGGTGCTAGCCTTCACCGTTCACTCAGATACTCTTACAGATAGTTCGGTTGTGGTATGTTGTGCTTGACTATGGTTCTCCCTTGGATTGTCTGGCTGTGGTGGGCTCACTTGGACGCAACGGCTTTGGTGGAGCTGGCTCTTATGCTCTGTGGTTGGGGCAGGTTTGCTGCGCGAGCTCATGTGCTGGGAACAGTTAGGTGTGGTTGTGTTGCAAGTACTTGTGCTTGCTGCCACTCGGCACATGGCTTGCCCAGGTTCTCATCAACACCAGCTTCAACACAAAAGGCAAACCCATCATCAACCGCGCAGAGGAGCAGCCAGCTGTCGAATGTGGGTCTCTCAATGCGTTGGAGGTCAGCAGTAGCACCAGTCTTAAAACGCTTGCCGGCGTAGGACTGTCTCAAAATGCTCGAGGAGATGCCAGCAGCCAGGCTGATCACCCCACACCCTACAGCCCCGCACTGCCCTTCGCCCCACGGGGCCTAAATCTCAGGCTCAGATTCAACACTGCGGTTTGCAGATGCCTGCGGACTGCTAGGCATGACAGCTTTCTACGCTTTCCCACCGCTTGGCCTGGCGATCTATAGAAGGCTACTCTCCAAGCGAAGGTCTTGGACAGGTTCTATAGAAATTTCATCAAAAAACAACTGTCAATTTTTCCCATGAACTTGCTATTTCATAGTTTCTTGAACCCCATAAGATAATATCTTTTGTATCGCAATGAAGCAGGCCAAAAAGAGGAGTTCTTTTGCAAGCAACTCCTGGCCCCATACCATGGGGGGACTGGAGCCCAGGATCTCGATTATGTCCTGATCGACGATTGGCTCTTCCGGGCGCCAGCCGCGAAAGTTCAGCCAGCCGCGCGTGTGTAAGCCAAAACAGCGCGAGGCAACGTATAAAGAATGTGAGGAGACTGTGGCAGCAGCGACCGTTCCTCCCTTTCTTTTGTGTTCTGACGACATGCTGTGGTTCAAGCGTAAAGACAGCATGTCCATGTAGAGTTCTGTAGAAGTGACAAGCTCCTGCCGAGCACTGCACTCTACCTCTACTCCCCCCTACAAAGTTGCACCCTGCATGCGCACACTGCCAACCTTTGCTCTGCTGCCATCGGCCAAGCCATGGCAATTCGTATCATTGCCCATGTCATTTCCCCGGACCATTTTTGTACATGACCGGAGACTCTGATTCTGGTGTAAGCGGATGTGCCTCCTGCAAGGCAGCAGCGGCTCGAGACTCTGTAGTCTCGAACTTCTTCAATTTCCTTCACTCTGGAAGGCAGCGGTGTGAGCACTTGTTGGCCTTCTGAATACGCAGCCTTGGGGAAATGAGTGAACAGCTCCGTTCATTCACCACGATGCCTGTAATCTCAATGATTCCTTGATTTACTGTGCTTGCCGTGCTTGTGTCATTTGGCAGCTGGAGGTCGGGCTATGTGCTTTTGTGCTCCTCGGCTGCAAAGATGCCAATTGTGGCCTCCTCCCGGGAATTCTTTGGCCAGCTTGAGCTGTACTCGTGCCTCTAACTGAGGTGGCTTTGCATTGCTGGTGCTCGCAGGAGTTGAGCCTTAGCGTTGTGCCTGCGAGCACTTCAGACTACTTTAGGGATCTACAGCTCGGTCGCATGTCATAGTGTACCTCGCAGGAGAACTGGATGTCAACTAAGACCCTTCAGCACATGTCCGGCTTCACGGGCTGCGTTTTTGGAAGGCTTCAACGTTTGATGTAGTGCCCGTCGATCAACGTGAGGCAGCTGACAGGGAAAGCAGGCTTTTCTTTGCTTTGCGAGGAACTGCATGCATCAGTCACTTGCAACGGAGAGTTGCGCGTAGACGTAGCCTTGATGCCCGAGCCGGAAAGATGATTCAGGTCATGATGGTTGCAACCTTCGACAGCCGAGAAGCACGGGCCGCCCCACCCGGATGGGTGCAGTCCTGAGGAAGTTCTTTCCCTTTGTTTGACCGGCGTCTTGGAGAGTTGTCGCCTCAGTGTCATCGCTATGTGGCCTAGTTTTGGGGATGGTTTTGGATCCTGCAGGGCTCCGACAAGCTAGGCATCCCCAATCATCTCAAGGCGCCAAGAACAGGTCAACTGCGAGTCTAGCAAAGAGGTTGCGATGCAGCCGCTGCAGTGAACTTAGGGGAGTCCCTCGCAAAGGTCGCACAGGCCGTAGGTGTCAGTACGTCCGTGGCACTTGCGGTCACCCTCACCATGGGAGCCCGAGAGGTTGAGTTTATGCATGCAGTCTTGCGGACTGTCTCGAAGAAGCTCCTTGCTGGTTGAGCTTCGGGGCCCCTCAAACCCCAAGTGCCCGCTGCGCTCAGTGCACATTCCACGCTCGGCTATGGGGTGGGGTGGGGGGACTGTACCACTGTACCCGGCACCCAATTCGGAGGTCGATAGAGAATAGAGGTGCGCGTCCTGTTTGAGAATTGTTCGCCGATGATAGCTACGGGTGTCTGAGGAGCGCTTCGTTGCTGCTACCAGCTCCAATCAGCTTCGGCCCTTAGAGCCAGGTCTCAAACTCTTAAATCTCAGAAGACCTTCAGCCCTTGCATGTCCAATTTTGACTGGAGTATTGCAGATGGCAGATTCGCTTTGCATTTCTGACACGCTCCTTAGCAACGAAGTTCCGAAGGATGCTACGTGACTCCCAGTGCCGAGGTGGGTCTCGTGCGCCTTCCTCCTCTCCGCGGCATCCATTGTGCTGAGCGGATGGCTGAGATTAATCTAAGAATCTAACTCTGGGCTCCAAAGATTAAGATGTCAGCTCAAGTGCCACTGGCATTGGCTCTGAGGCATCAACTACCTGCCGAGGTTGGAGGGCGAAGGATGAGCCAGGCCTGTCAGAGCCTGGCAGTGCTCGTCGCGGTTGTGGAAGCAAATAAGTTAATCCGCGGAGATGTTCAGACAATGCGTTTGCTGGTCAGGCGGCAGCATAGCTGCCCTGCTTTTGGATAATCAGAGCTGGAGACAGTAGGACCTTGTGACCTTGTGTCTCAACTTTGCAGATGCGTTGTGTCCTGCCCTCCTGCTTTGCAACTTTATGCTCAAGGAGAAGGTTTACCGGAATAAGCCCTCAGCCTTCATTTGACAGCACGGCTGGTGTTCTGTAGTTCTGGCTAGAGAAGCATCAGCAGGTGTCAAGAGCCGCAATACTCAAGAGCTAACCTTTCGAGGTTTTTCCCGGCCCCGTCGAAGATGGGAGCTTGCACCTCTCGCACCTCTCGATGTGGATCCTCTGGCGAGTCTGGTGCTGTCGTGGGTCATGCCTTGTCCTATCCACGGCCGCACCCGAAGCTCTTTCCCATGTGGGCTTCTGGGCACGAACATGTGACAGCAATTGTAGTCGGGAAGGTCCGATACAGTACTACAATGTTGCACTTTCATTTGCTCGTTGGTTTTGTGTGCCCTGATGTGGAGGTTCTCAGGGTCTCCGATCTGCTGGAAATGTTTGGACCACCTCCCTCGCACGAGGAGCTGCAACGTGCAAAGCTCCTGGTGGAGTGGAGGCGTGAGTTCTTCACGATTTTCGTTTCGCACCAGTGGTTGAGCACACAGCATCCTGATCCGGATGGTCTGCAGCTTGAGATCTTGAAGAAAGCAGTACAGAACATCATTGACGGCACTGTCACTGTGGAATCGGACGTGGTGTCACAGCTACGACAGCAGCTCCGGCGGTTTTCTGCGAAGGAGAGGCGGCAACTGGCAAATGCTTACATCTGGTTCGATTGGTTCTCGATACCACAAATTCCAAATTCGAAAGCCGAGCTGGGCATCCAATCGATTCCATTCTATGTGGAAGCCTGCCAGCTTTTCGTTGCCCTGGTGCCTCCCTTGCGCCACTGTGCGGCGCAGCAGGACTGCGATCTAGTGAGCTGGCTTTCCCGTGGGCGACGTGCTTAGTTGCTGTGCTGTGAGCACCTATCGGTTGTGGGCGTGGCTGGGTGGGGGTGGGTGCGGCGGGGTGCGGCTGGGTGCAGCTGCAGGCGGGTGCGGCTCGGTGTGGGTGGTTGTGGGTGGGTGTGAGTGGGTGCGGGTGTTTTCGGGTGGGTGCGGGCGTGGAGTGGGTGCGGATGGGCACGGGGTGGGTGCGGGTGGGTGTTGGTGCGTGGCAGTGCGTGGGTGGGTGTCTCTGTATTTGTGTTTGCGCCTGTGCCTGTGCCTGTGCCTGAGCTTGCCTGCGTGCGTCTCTGTGTCGAATGTCTAATAACAGCATTGTTAGCCACGAGTAGCTGTTGACATGCATCTGACCTGTTTCGTGGCAGTCCATACAGCATGGCAGGGTCCTGCCATGACAAGCTTCTAACACACAGCATGTTTTGCATGCTTGTGTTTAGTGGCCTTCAGACTTGTCTGCTTTCCAGGCTGGGGCAAAACACTGCCTGAAGGGGGTTCGGGTCCAGGCCGTCTGAAGGCCAAAAAGTTGCGAAAGACTGGCGCAATCTCCGCGAAAGTCTAGCGTATCCCATAAAGGGCCCAGCCCACGTGGCATCTGCTCAAGAAGTGTGCGTGTGCGTACCTGCAGTACGTACAGCAGGCGCCGTGGATGTGATTACAGGAATTCCGCGCGTGGACATCTCAACCCTAGGCCCTGGGCTCAATCTTCGTTCAACCCTGCACCCAGCCCTCTATAGACCTGTGAACCATGAAGTTAATCCTCAGCTCACCTCCTTCAAGCCTCAGCCGTCCACCCGTTTTTTTCAATTCGAGGCGTCGTAACATCTGGATTTTAGGGTTCAGGCGTGGGCGTGACTAGGCGCGCTAAAGTTCCGGGAAAAGAAGTTTAATTTTGGCGAAAGTTATGTGATCAACTGCCACATATCTGAGGTGGTGCCGTGCAGAAATGTGGTGCCGGCTCTTGGCTGATGGGTGCCTGGGCATGGTGCCGAACACCATCATGCATGATAATAGCGTTTCCTGCGTCATTCAAGAAGAACTCTTTAGCTACCAGACACTCCAACCTCTAGCCTGACAATGCCAGCGCAGGTCGGGCACTGACGTGCCGATGGTTGTTGTCTCTGGGGCGGACCAGGTTGAATTCGCAAAGCCGCTACAATGGGTGCAAAACCCAGTGCACGAAGGCTCGGCCTTAAGTCTGTTTGATCCCTGCAAGCCTGCAAGCAAAGTGTAAAAGTTGCTATGGACCCAAGACATGACGGGGAATGGCCTGGTGCAGGCGAGTTCTCTTGCGAGTCCGACCGCAAGAGTGTGGGCAATTTTGTTCAAGCAGCACTGGACAACAAACTGCGACGTTTGGCAGCTGCTGGGCAGTCGGATCTGCTCAGGCTCCTAGCTGCAATTTTCTCCCTTCGGGTGGTAGCTCTTGTGTGATCCTGAAAGCCATGAGCGCAAGCATGTGTAGCCAGCTTTAGCACGCCGCGGAAGAACTGCTACTGAATGGACATGAATGGGTGTCACATGTGCGTCGATGGATCTAGCCATTCCAAAGGACATCCTGCGTGCATGGGATGTGTGAAAATCACCGCAGTTGAAACGAGAGTTCAAGTTTTACGACAATGTGAGCTTCTTGAGCAGAGGTACTATGTGGCCAGATACGAGGAGCCTGGGCAAAGGGGGCGATGTTCCCGAAGGTAGCCAGACACGAACACCCCGTATTTGGGCATCGTACCGGTTTCATGTGCCACCGGGATCTCATGCTCACGCAGCAGGCTGACATCCATCCTGAGCGCGATGTTGTCGAGAAGTGAGGGGTCCCTGCTCCTGCTGTGTCATTTTTCAGCATGTGCACCGGGCCCTCCGAAATTTGAAATGTCATTAGCCGAACCCGCGTCCTGTTTGAAGCCACAAAATTATAGAGAAGCTTACAAAAGAATGCAACTATGCAAGCAAGAAGAGACCCTCAACTTTAACAACTTTCATGTTCAGACTCTCCTGCACTGCCGTGCCAGCAGAGGAGTTCCTTGGCCTGGCGGCGCCGAAACGAGACGTTCATAGCTTTGCTTCCCGCTTCGGCTTCCAATCGCTTCAGGCAGTACAGTAGTAGTAGTAGTAGTAGTAGTAGTAGTCGTCGTCGTCGTCGTCGTCGTCGTCGTCGTCGTCGTTTAGTAGTAGTTTAGTAGTAGTTTAGTAGTAGTTTAGTAGTAGTTTAGTAGTAGTTTAGTAGTTTAATAGAAGTAGCTCATTATTATTAGTAGTAGTAGTAGTAGTAGTAGTAGTAGTAGTAGTAGTAGGAGCAGTAGGAGCAGTAGCAGTAGCAGTAGCAGTAGCAGTAGCAGTAGCAGTAGCAGTAGCAGTAGCAGTAGCAGTAGTCCAGCTAACCAGGTGTTGACGATGATCTCAACCAAACGTACTGGACGGTTGACGAGTTTTTTTCACAACTCCGCTAAGGGGTATATTGCCCCGCCCATTCTAGGTTCTTGCAAGCATCTAGGCCGTACGAGCACACCGATACGCTACACGCATTGTCTAATGAGTTACTCATTGCGAGTGTGGGACTTTGAACTTTATGTGCCGCAGGGTGCGGCCAGGTAAAATCCACCCGGTGCAAGCACGCAAGCAGCATGTTGGTGTTCCGGAGGCTGCCGTACGTCAGACACATGGTATGGGGGCCATGGCTTGCGCTGCTCTCTCTGGAGTCACTGGCACGAAAGTTTATGTTGCCCAGGCTTGAAGGTTGACTTGCTCTTGTTGGTAAAATCCGATACATGTTTTGGACTTTAAGCGCTCTCAAGCCACTTGGCAGCTGTGCGTAGTTTTTGGCACGAAGACGCGAAGACCCAGAATCGAAATGCAGAGACCGCAGATGTGCATGGTGTTAAGGCGCCAAAGGCACCTAGGGCGTCAATTGCGTCGACGGCGTCGCCGAATTCCTGAGCGTCAACGTCAACGACGGAGGTATGTAGCGCACTCCTAGCTGACCTAAACTTGCAAAAAGTTGCTTGCGTTCATGTCCGCACGTACATGCGTTTTCGCCCCGGGTAGAGTCGCCGTGTCTTAACCCCGATTTGATTCAGGGGCGTTCCAGCCCAAAGCTACTCTAAAGCAAATCTCATAAGCCCTAATTTTCAAGACCCTAAGACGATAAGCCCCAAACATCCCTAAACCTTTAAGCAGAAACCCGAAGCTGGTTGCACCAACGGATCCATGTGTTTTCAAGCATGAGCTCTGTCTGTTTTCTTTTTTTGTATTTGTCTGTCTGTGTGTGTGTTTGGCAACAGATCAGTTCTAATTCGAGACGTCATCTAGCTGCCGGGACTGCAGAAAAGTTATAACACCGCTGACGCTGGTTCCTTCCGGGTTTAGCTACAGTGACCTTTCAAATTGCGCATTTCCTCTAATGTGCCCCACTCCCCTCTCCCTCACAGCCGAAGCCGATTTGGGCCCTCTTCGCGGCAACGTTGAGGGGCGGGGGGGGGAGGGGGCGGCAATTGATTGTAAAGGCACTCCCTTCCGCCCGAACAGTCGCGGAGTCCTGATTGAGCATGTCGTACAGGGCAGGGTTCCTCTGAGGACGCTGGCTTGGTGCGTGCCCTGGCGGCGCAGGGCGCGCCTATTCAGTCCAGGCTGCGCGCCATGCCCGAGGCAGTATCATTGTCAGTGTACCGTACCTTTGCAGCTGGCACAGCCAGCTGTGCTGCTACGTAGAACCGCAAACTCCGCGTGCAGGTCGGTGTGGAAGATGGATGGACCCCATTGCATTTGGCAACTATTGGTAGAGATGAGCTGGCTGTGGCTGAGCTCCTCCAGTTGCAGGCTGACCCCAACAGCACAGACTCCTTGTTGAAGATTCCCGTGCCTCAGCTGCACCCTTGCAAGTTCGTTGTGCTGCTGTGACGTCGGATGGCCCAGTCTTCCGCTCAGGTGCTTGGACTCTGCCACACCACGTCAGCGGTGACGATGCTGGTAGAGCACAGGGCAGACGTTAACTTAAGGCCGCTTCCATTGAATTGGTACGACATCATCGGAATTCAGATGGCAAGCCGCTGTAGTGAGGACACCTGGTCGCGATGGTTTGCTGCATTGTTGCGTCCTTTTCTCAGGCTGCCTCCATGCTTGATGTCCCCGCTGGCTTCCGCATGTAGCCGTCAAGCGTCGGTGGCTGCCCCCTGTCTCCCAAGATGCTCAAGTACGGGGGTGGTGTGATTTTGTGAGGCGGCATTAGCGTGCTCAAGCGGCTGATTGCACGTGATGTCTGGTTGCAGCACGGGGTAGACGACCATCCGGTCGCCTTGGTCAAGGTCACTTCGAAGCTGATCGAGCTGGGTGCTGAAGTGAACTTGCACCTTGACTCAAGATGTCGGCCAGCTAGCTGATGGCTGATGCACCATGGTGTTGATCTGCAGTTAATTGAGGACACTTTCATGAACTCAGGTTTAGCCATCTAATACTGTAGGCATGCAGGGCAGCGCATTCCGCAAGTGGCTTTCTGGAGCTTGTTAAACGCTGCGCGTCCTCCTGTGCTTCGGGCCTAGGGGTGGAAAGGGGTTTTTGGAGTATGCAGGATGTGCCGGTGGCTAGCCTAGGCAGTCCCAGAGTTGGGCATCCCAGCAGTTCACATCAGGAGAGTCCCGGAAGCCCCTCTCGGTTCCGCAGAGGGGGGCGCCGGCACCGGGCAAACTTTCGGTGCAAGCGCCACGCCCTGGAAGGAGTTTCGGGTTCACGAGAGGAGGGGAAACAGGGGTGGGAAGCTCTGACGCCAAAGGGCTCAATAGCCTTGATGCCACGGCCATTCTGCGTTCCACGTGTATTTCTTTCAGGTTGTTGGGTATGGCATTCTCTGGGTGAAGCCGCGATAAAGCAACAAAGGTCTTCAGGTGGCACTGGCATGGGCCCGCTCGCATGCCTGGCGAATACAGCCGCCAGCAATCCTCATTGTCTTGAGCAGCTGACCCTGCTCATCCAGAACAAGGCCAGGGCATGTCGGGGTGTGTGGTCCACTCTTCGCATCGTATTCACCAGACAAATGCCGACGGGCGCGGTGCATGTGAGTTCAAGTCTCCAAAGCCTCAGGCCGACATCAACCAGCCTTGCAGAACCAGTGGCCTCTTCAATCTGCTGGAGTGGGTTTGCCGTGCACATGTGCTCGTGGTTCGAGACAAGACGCTCGCAGGTATCAGGTTCACTGCTGACTTGAGCACAACAGCTCTTGGCCACGCAGCATTTTTTGGCGCCGATCGCATGGTGCAGCACCTTCTGGATTTACATGCAGACCCTGAGATTCGAAACAAGCGGGGACGCACGCCCGCACAATTGGCGCGGCATGCCAGAGTGCAGCAGATCTTTGATGATCACGCAACCAGCTTTTCTATCTGAGCTGTTGGCTACTTAGAAAGCTACAGCGCGGCATAGAGGAACCACCGTTCACTCAGTTTTACCGGCACCTGCCCCGTATCGGCATGGTGCCGGTTTTCGTTCTGTAGGCCTAAGCAGGCTTTACGTGCAAACAAAGGGGGGGGGGCCCCCCAGACTGTCGAATCTGAGAGTCTGAGCTGATGATTGTTCTATTTTTTGGACCCTCCGGCGTGGATCAGCAGACCACGCATACGCATGTCCAAGCGTGTTTCTGCAACAATAACACTTTGCACTTCGTGATGCTTCTAGCCCAGCCGTGTTGCAAGCCTAAGACCGCTTGCTGGCGACATGAGGGTCGTATTGCGGACTTCTTCGTGGCGGTTTCAAAGGAATGACCCTCTCCGAAACCTGCAATTTCTCATCCAATGGGCGACGTGTGGAGTTCCAAGATCTCCAAAGTTTTGAGCCTTGGCCTTGTCTGCCATGTCTCTTGGAGGTGCCATACGCACTGCATACAGGCATACTGTTTGCAGATGTTTGCATCGTTGTGCGGTAAGCCTGTCGAGGTTTGCTTAGACATAGCCGGGTCTGGGTACTACTGGCTGCTTGCCTGAGTATAGTACCTCCAGAAACGTCACCTTGTCTCGTAACCCGCATCTGCCAAGCTGGCATTCGTGATTTATCTTGTGGATGAAAAAGCTCGCATATCACACTTCAGTGCACTCCTGTGTCGGTGCAAGCAGATCCTAGAAGAGGGGGGGGGCCTCGGGCTACGGTTGAATACTTGTACATGGGGAGTGCCCATCCGGCTGAAACTGAACAAATGGCGTTGTCCTGTTCGGTGCAGAGGGGCGAAGGGGGATGGGCAACAGAAACACGCGAAGAGATTCCGAAGGGTCGGATGTGCAAGTGTCAGACTGCTTCAGAATTTGTTCATTGTTCTTCCTGGCCGATCAGGCGCCACAGCTCCACAGCTCTGAGCCAGCGACTGCCAGCATCGTTTCACGCGCTGAATTCCAGCATGTAGGGAGGAAGTGACAGGACAGGATTCAGGCTGTCCGCTGAAGTGTTGGTCAAGGTTTCCTGATGGTTCGTTGGCAACAAACTGTGCTGCCAGTGAAGAGTCAAAAGCATCACGCGCTACGGATCTAGACTGCGTTGGCATGGAAGGGAAGGTGACTTTGACGGCGTTAGATCATGCCAGTCGATGAGTGGGAGTTGCGCCTGGCCAGTCAAGTTATGTGGTTTCACATGGCAATGAGCAGCGAATGAAGCCAGATCATGCTCTCTGAGCTCGGCAGGACAAGGCCAGACATAGCCAGACGTAGCCAGACTGGCACTACAAGGTGGCCGCTTGGCCTCAACACGTGGCCACGAGCATGGCAGCTGTTGCTGAGGAGGACGAGCGACTCGACGGCACATGAAAGGGACCGAGAGCTTCAAACATGGACCATCCCCCCTCTTACTTGTCCCATACTGCCACGCCTTCTCAGCCGTCGAACTTTGGAGACGAATGCAGGAAACCGGAAAGCAGAATCATAAGTAGAATCGAGAACAGAAGACAGATCACTTGCAAACTCAGGCGGAAAAATCATGTTTGCCCCAGAAAATAGTGCCGGGGCAGAGGAAGTCAAGCTTATCCAGAGGTGGTTGATAATCGGGCGTCCTTGTGGAAGCTGTAGTACGCCGTGATGCGCACAACTCGAATTTGCCTGCGCGAAATATCCGTGATGGCGCAACGACAGCAAATCATGTTTCGCGATAGTTCTGATGTCTTCCAGGTTCTGTCCTACCTCAAATTCCTGCTGGACTGCCCATCCGAAATCCGCTGCTTAAACAACTTGGAATCCAAAGTCTGAAGTTCTTAGGCCAGGGGCTTTTCACCAAAGATCTTCGTAAGTCCCACGTAAGTCGCGCATAAATCATTGCAAGGACGGTGCTCATCTTAGACGGTCCGGAACTATGGGCATCTATGGCCTAAGAGGTTTTGAAAGGTCTACGAGTCTACGGGGTTTTAGTTGAGGGGTCAGGATCTAGACTAACGACTGATGATTTACCGGGACTCATACCTCCCAGATGCGGCACCCTCCTGTCACATGCTCGGAAGTTCAGGGATTCAAGGTTTGAAAGTTGCACTGATAGCAGAAACCCGCAACGCGACCGCGAAAGTTCCGTGAAAGTAGTTTTATTTCAGGACACGAAGCTCGTGTCCTGCAACATCCCAAAGAGCCATAAAAGGTCCGTGGTCCAACTCCGGGCTTGGCTCGCCGAGTCTGGTGCACAGGGCCTGGACAGGCCCGGGCAAGCCGCGCACCCGTTTCTGTAGGTCTCTGAGAACGTCTCTGCCTATCCGTAGAAACTTCATAAGAACTCAGTAGAAACTTAGTAGTAACTTAGTAGAAACTTAGTAGTAACCTGGTATTAACTTAGTAGTAATCAGTAACTTAGTAGTAGCATCGTAGTAACTAAGTAGTAACCTTGTAGTAACTTCGCAGTAGCTATACTACGCAGCCATGAGCCCGAGCTGTCGGATTGTCGGGTCGAAGGCTGCGTGTGGCGGCTGCGGCACCGGAGGAGTCCAAGGAGGAGCCCAGGGCTGTACAGAGTGATCAAGTAAGAAATGTGCCCAGGGGTGTGAGGGGGCGGCATATGTCGCGGCGGCGTATATTGAAGCTGGGGCCACCACAACCAGAAAGGTGGGGTTGTTCTATTTTTCGCACCCCCTACTTACGCAGGCATCCACCCAACTTTTCTCCTTTTCGGGTTTCGGGCTAACGCCCTAAATTTCCACTTCCCACCCCCATCCTTTAACAAGGGGGCTTAGTGAGTTTGGTAGGAGATATTTCTTGTTTAGTTTCCAGGCTGACAGCTTTAAACCCAGAAGGGGTAGGGGGCCAAAGGGGGCGAAGGAGGGTCAAAGAAGGGTAAAGGGGGCCAAATGAGGCCAAGGAGGGTCAAAGCGGGTCAAAGGCGGGCCAAAGCGGGGCCAAAAGGGGGGCCAAAGGGGGGCCAAAGGGGTCAAAGAGGGAAAGTGGGGTCAGGGGGGCGAGGGCCAAAGAAAGGGGGGTAAAGGGGGCCAAAGGGGGCCAAAGAGGGGGGCCAAAGGAGAGGGGCCAAAGGGGGGCCAAAGGGGGGCCAAGGAAGGCCAAAGGGGGGGCGGCAGGTTTTTGGGTTTGGTAGTGGGCTTTTCAATCGCCCACGCTGACCTGCCTTGCGGCGCCTGGGCCCAGGGGCGACGTGCCGAAGCCACTTTTGGACAGGTCGCCATGTTTAGGGTTGGTCGCCAGGTTTAGGGTTTCTTCATAATACTTCAGAATCGGAGAAAGGGTACCCCAAGCGGGGTTACTCACACTCAACACAACTCTTTAGGCTTGCATAGTAAGTCCAAGCGATGGTGTTAATGGCTGTCGGGTGTAGTGCTGGGTCCAGGCACCCTAGAAAAGGGTGGGTACGGCCTAAGTAGGCCTGGGTGGGAATTTAGGGTTTAGGGTTTATAGGGCTTCTAGGGTTTATAGGGTTTGGGTTTATAGAATGTTTATAGGGTTTATAGGGTTTAGGGTTTAGGGTTTAGGGCTTAGGGTTTAGCACGTAGAAGCCCATGGAAAAGCATAAGCTAGCAGCGGCTGTTTGCTGGCCATCTCCGCAGGAGCGGGGCGTTTTCGTGCCTGGCCTGAATTCAGCAACGACTTCCAAAAACAAACCAAGCTCTGACATGCTAGCTTTGCTAGCGATTCATGGTTCCTTGCCAGCGCCTTTTGTGTCCCCTTTGGTTGACTGCTGTGCTTGTAGTTCATAAGGTGCGAGGGGCCGCCATCTGTCAAGGCGAGGTGATCGCCAAGGCACCCAGCCCAACTCTCGTCTCCTCCCAGCCCCTGCGCCAACTTCAGCTGAGGGCACGAAACCCCTTGCTTCTTACTAGGGAATGAGGGAATCAGGGCTCCATATGTACCCTTCAAGGGCGTATATAGGCTCCTCATTCCCTCCTTCCATACTAAGATTCAGACCGGTCGTCCTTGCGCAGGTTCCGCAGAGATGTGTTTTCTCCTCTCACAAGGCTTGGGAGAGCGCCGTAGGCTCCTTGCACTGCATTTTGCACATGGGGGGGGTTTTTCCGAATATTGGGGGGGGTAACCTGATTATACGGGAATCCTACTATTTGGGGGTTGATATTCAGGGTCCCTTATTTTCGTAAACCCCCACATGGTTTGGTGAGGTTAGTAATGTTGTGATCGCTTTAGTCTCTGGGTCATCTCTCCAGACGCCAAATCAAACGCTTAATCGCCAGATTTTGGGGGCCCGGGCTTCAGGCCTTGGGCTTCTAAGTCTGAGAGCATGAGGCCCTGAAGCTGAAGGCCTTAAAGCTGCAGAGCTCCAGGCCTTAAAATCTTCTCCTGTAAAGCTCGACCAGCCACACAATATACTAATTATTCCAAACAGCCGAAGGGTTGAGTTTCTGTCTCTAGAGGCGGGGGGCGCCATTTGCCACCCTGGAATGCGGAAGGAACGGAACGGCACTTGATGCTCTGTTGGGTTGCACAGCTGGGTTAATGTACTAAACTGCAGGAGTGCCGCTCGTGGGCTACCCCTGGAAAACTGTCTGGGGCCTCGTTTCGTAGAGTGGCGAAAAGGAAATTACATGAAACCCGGTGCCAGAAATTTTGGAAATCTGAAGGTCGAAGTTTCGGTGCTTTGCATCTCTGGGGCGTTGTGTTGGGGCCCTGGCTGCCTCAGGTCAAGCCTGCCTGGCTGCTTTCCCCAGGAGAGAGGCGAGGTCCAGAGATCGTTAACGGTAGAGGTGTTTAAGACACCCGCATCACTCGAAGTCATTCGAGGACGGCAAGAGTCAAGTCTCCGACAAGATGGTCTTCCTGCTGGACTTGATCTCGGCACGTACAAGCAAGGAGCACCCGCGGCACCTCGGTCCCAAAGACTGGGCTTCAATCTCTTCGAGCGCTGTCGAAAATAGAATGAGTTGCACCGCACCAACTGTTGAAACCCACCGCCATAAAGTGAGTAGGGGTCTCTCAGCCAACCTGCTTGTGCAACGGGAGCGTGCTTGTCAGGGCGGCCTATGCTGCTACACTGCCAGCCACGGCACCATCCCCCGTGGGCTGGCCGCCAGCCTTGCGTGACTTGGACGACACCGAAAGACAAAGGAATGCAGGGCCATGCTACACAGCGACCACCCACAACACTTCTCCGAGGCGCCATGCTCCAGGGCACCAACCTGGCAGCTGCTGTAGAGGACGAGCGCTCCTCGCGAAGAGCTCAGTGGAGCCAAAGCCCAGAAGTCGCCACAATCCAGACGTGCACTCCAAGGGAAACAAACGGAAGACACATCGCCGCTCCCCGAAAGGTTGGAGTCCGACTTCAACGCCGTTGTGCCGAAGCTCAGGCAGACGAATCCGGAGATTTTCGGATGCCCGGCTTTGAAACGTGTCGTTCGACGATTTTCGACGTGCACAACACATACTGTACTAGTACAAGACCGAGACAGAATCACGGGCCAACAGTATGTCAGCAGTACTAGGTAGTACTGGGTGCAGTTTTTCAGGTGTTCATGCAGGCTACCAGGCAATAGCAAAGAAAGACACAACTTCCTTTCAAACTTTCAGCCAACCGGTGACTCTCCACAATGTGCAGACTTGCTCAGGGAGTGCACGATGGTGACGCTTTGGAGGGATGCACGTCGTGCAAGTGAGAGAGCCGTGGCTTCCGACTTGCTCACATGTGAGGCGAGCAGTACACTTTCGATGCATCTTGGCCGAAATCAAATTCTGAGCGAATTGGCCTCCTGTGCCTTGTGGTGCGTGTGGCAAACCTGAAAGCAAGTGCTTAGACTTGGAACAAAACGGCCCAGTGCCAGATGATCTCAGATGCTCCTGTGGGCGTACGCTGTGTGGTTCTCCCGGCGGTTTCCGACTGCTCTGGCATCGCATGGCAAGAGCTCCGATTATCGCGCCTGGTCTTTCATACATGACCGTTGCATGCCGTTAGTCTGCCACAGTGGAGTAGGCTGCCTCGGTCATCGGTTGCACATGGCAGCTGTTATCGGCAGTGGGTGCTTGCTTGTCAGGCTTCAATTCAAACAATTCAAGATCACTAAACGACGGTTTGTTCGCATGAGAGATGGTTCACCTGCAAGTCTGTGGACACATGCGGCCCCATCCATCGCTCTCCGCATTGACGCCGGACTTGCTCACAGGTCCAAGTCACTTGTGAGTACAGCTAGCGGGTATTATGCATTCGCAGCGATTGGACGGCTACTCGATGTATCTAGCGCGTGGGCAATGTGGGCTCACAGAGGTTGGCGTCGGTCCGCCGAGGAGGAGATGGAGGCCGAAGCACTTGGGCAAAAGAGCCCGACGGGCGCCCCGTCGTGGAACCCGAACGGTGCTACATGCCTAACGTGGTGAGCAGCATAACGTCACCTGGCACCTCCAAATTGTTCTTGAGGGGAAATCGTTGTTCCTTGTCGGCGGTTAGGCTAGGCTCCGAGTCGCTGCTGCTTGGCATGGATTTCTGGCCTGTGCAGGAGGAATCCGACGGTGAGGGTGCGATGGTGCCGTGCTTTGAACGAAATAACAGGGCAGATGCTATCATCATGATTCATCTTCCTTTTTTTCACTTGCGGATTTCTTTGCATTCATGTTTTGAAATGGCAATGTTTCGCACAGTTTCCAGCGGGGAGAAGCCATGAGAAGCCAAGGTTCATGGACTTTACCAACCATCGAAGTGGCACCCAGATTGCCGCTAAGCCATTGAAGCCCTTGCGCAAACTCGTGTGCTGCTCCTACATCACCACATCAGGAATGGCCGTAAACTCTTTCTGCCTGCGGTCGGTTCCTTTCATCGCCGGGCTAACGGTGGAATAATGCCTTACTGAGACATCAAAGGTTTGGTCGGCAGATGATACGCATGTCACCTTCACTGCAGGCTCGCTGAAGAAAGCTCGGTGAGGGATATGGGTCTGAAACATGACAGACGTGACACGAGCGTTTTGCAAGGCGAGACAGGCGTGGCTGCGGGCGAAGAGGTGTTCAACAACTATGGTGACAAGATCCCTGGCCCCACACCTTGAGGATTTTCGGGGATCTTTGAGGTCAAGGCCTGCGAGCACTTTTACATCCGCTTGCCTTCTAAACTGTCCAGATCGCTGCCCATGACTCTCCTAGCCAGGTGCTGTGCCTCGTTTGACATGGACAGCTCAGGAGCAATGAAGACCTGCTGCTCATCCACGGCTTTGCGCTGCTAGACAACATCTATGACACCTATGGCTCCTCAGCTTCGCAAGCCCTATGTTCACTTGCATGATTGGTATGCTTTGGGCCGCGTCCCACTGCAGCAAAGGCTTGTGGCTCTCTGTCCAGGTCTCCGAGGACGCAAGAAGCGCGCGTGGTGCACCGCTTCATCGTACGAGGTGTCCCAAGAACTCCAAGAAATGTGGCCGCTGTTGTGGCTTAGGAGCCACCAGCACGGCGACCGGCCAAGAAGCGAAGGCAGCGCCTTAACACATAGGCATACTCCTCACAGCCGTCCGGTTCAGCAGGTGGACATAACTGCACTACGTAGGTTCCACCATATATACTACTCTTGCCGAAGTAGTTTTAGCTCGACGTGATGCCCTGCTCAAGGAAGCCGACTGGATCTGATAATACGCGCTTGGTCAGCGCGTACGGGCACATCCGCATTCAAGAGAATTATTCGTCCAGCCACGCGTGATGACGCGTGCAAGCGTGTGTGAAGTGTAGGAAGTAGAAAGAGATTGTCGAACATGTTCTGCCCTGTTTGTGGTACTGGCGATCTCTTGAAACCTGCCAGGGCGGCAGTAAAAACGCAGCGGATTGGACCCTTCCTGCTGCGGCGAGCAGATGATAGGCTGGTTGCATCACGCTTTGCTAGGAATTTGGCAGCGAGAGCAAGGCACATTCATGCTGAGGGCCAATCGTGAGAGTCTTTTTGTTGCTGTAGGGGTGTACGGCGTAGCTTGTAGAGTTCAGAGTGCAGCAGAAGACAGCAGACCATGTAGCGACACAGGTGGGACCAATTTCCCGCGGAGCTTTGGCTGGCCCTCTCCTCAGCCACCGGAACGGCCACCGAGGTGGGATCAGGTTTGTCATGCTCTTGCTGGATTCCTTAAGATAGGCCCTCAACAATAAGAATAATCATCAGAATAATAAGAATAATCATAATCATCAGAATAATCATACTAATACTAGTAGTAAGAATAATACTAACAATACCTTGCAACGAATCCTTTGTGCATCTTTGCACGCTGACTGATTCGGAGACGTTAAGACTTTCGGTAAGGTTTGCCTTGGGCTTCTGTCCTTTGCGACTGTGCCATTCCGCAGGAAGCCACACACCTGACCGTGGAGCCGGAGCACTTGAGGCAAACAAAACGCATGCCCATTCGAGCCATTCAGGCATGCCACGAAGTAACGAAGCAATTGCAAAGGTGAGCACAAGTGAGCTCAAGCCTCGTTGTGTCGCCATGTGAACCAAACGAATGTTCCCAGGAGCTTGGCCTCACTTCTTCAGCAGAGGCTTGAGGCAGCTGAACTTACTGCTCAATGGAGTTAATGGACAGCTCAAGGCTTCCTCAAAGGGCCAGCAGTTTCAGCTCTGCATGTGTGCAAAGGGTGGCCCTTCCAAACGGAGCAGCGCGACTAGATCTGCGTTTTAAATTATGGGCTTTAACGGGTTCCAAGAGTATCCGATGGCGAGCATAGTGGCAGGACTTCACGTCGACGCAGGGCCGAGACAGACACTTTGCTGCAGGGGGCAAAGCCGAGGGCGGAGAAGTGGATCCAAGGATCAGGCACCTGGGACAGCAAAAGTGACTGAGCAGAGGCCGGTTTGAAGACTGTGCGGAGGCCCCCTTGAAATCCTAGGTACATCGCCCGCTACCGAGACGGCCAGCGACAGGTCCTAGAGGACTGCAGCAAGGCGCTGGAGGTGGCTCGAATAACCTGAGTGCCGCTGACACAGACACAGAGCGCCTGAGAGCCAAGGAGATGCTTTCCCAGCTGCCAGCTGAGACCGGAGCTCCAGAAGTTCCAGAAGCTCCAGACGTTCCAGAGGCGCCGATTCCCGATGTGAAAGGCTTTCCCGCAGTCACTTGCCAGATAAGAAATGCTTAGCCCTGAGGCCGAGAGAGCAGGGCCAACCTGACGGGCAATAACACAAGCGCCGCTTCTTGGGTAGACAAAAAAAGCGACCCTTCAGACATCGATTCATCTACTTTAGCTGCTGGCCACACATGGTGCCCTGGCCGAACACTTCGCCACATGTGCAAGCTTCGTAGGCCAACGGCATGCTGCACCCTGCGCGCATGATTTGCCCCTAAGACATGTGAAGTGTGATGTAGGGTTTTGGGGTTTTAAAGGGTTTTGCCAGCTGCCACTATCGTTGACACCTCGACTCTCTAGCTGTGGACGCTCTTTGGACATGCCCCCGCGCCTGCCTCTGACACGGTTGAGTTGCAGAGTTCACAGGAGCAGCTGTCACATACACGGAAAAACTCAGAAAATAATTGAGAAATAGGCCAAAAGCAGGACCCCACAAGATTGCAAGGGAAATTCACTAGCTGCTCAACAGCTTCTGTAGAGCCCAGCATGCTCTTCGAGGTTCCATGATAATCATGCAGCCTTGGGCATGAGAATTCAGCAGGGCTCATGCCTACAGCTCGAGAGGACAAAACATGAAGACTGGTCAGCTGGCAAGGGGACATCTCGAAGGGACGTCTTAGGCATTGTGTAGTCGGCGCATAGCCATGTGATGCGGAACGTCCATCTACAGGATACAGCTCCCACCCAAGGATGACACGGCATGCGTCGCATGCTTTTCAGCAGAACTTGAAGATTGCACGTGAGGGGGAGAAGGCTGCGAGAAGTATTTGTGCGTTCCTGCCTCCTAAGCAATTCTGTGTAGCAATCCGTGCACGAGCGCTCAGGGACAGACGGCATTGCAAGGTTTGTGTGTGTGTGTGGGTGTGGGTGTGGGTGTGTGTGTGTGTGTGTGCGCGCGCGGGTGTGTGTGTGTGTGTGTGTGTGTGTGTGTGTGTGTGTGTGTGTGTGTGTGTGTGTGTGTGTGTGTGTGTGTGTGTGTGTGTGTGTGTGTGTGTCTGTGTGTGTGTGTGTGTCTGTGTGTGTCTGTGTGTGTGTGTCTGTGTGTGTGTGTGTGTGTGTGTGGTGTGTGTGTGTGTGTGTGTGTGTGTGTGTGTGTGTGTGTGTGTGTGTGTGTGTGTGTGTGTGTGTGTGTGTGTGTGTGTGTGTGTGTGTGTGTGGGTGTGTGTGTGTGGGTGTGCGTGCATGTGCGGGTGTGCGTGTGCGTGTGCGTGGTCGTGTGCGCGTGCGTGTGCGTTTGCGTGTGCCGGCGTGTGCGTGTGGGTGTGGGTGTGGGTGTGTGTGTGTGTGTGTTCACCTCGAATGCACTGAGGTCTCTGCTAGAGTCGGGGGCGGATTCATATACCAGAGCGGTCAGGCCGAGGAACCCTGCAGTGAGCATCGGAAGTGCGCATTCGACACTCGCACGCACAGCAACGGCAGCAAAGCCAGCGGAGAGGTTTGCACACTAGCTCCCGGCTCTGCTTTCAGCATGTGGGATCAGTTGGGAGGACCGCCCTCGTCGGAGAAGCGACCGGCGCTGCGCAAGCAGCATCTCGGCAACGGCTGAGAGAGAGAGAGAGAGAGAGACCTATATATATATATATGTATATAGAGGTCTTGGGAGGAGCAAGGGGTGGTATTGAAGGAAGGAAGCAGAGGCCCTCCTTGCAGTACGAGACGGTCAGTATTCGAACCCAGGCCGGGCACATACCTCCAGCAGCAGACCCATGGATGAACGGGTGGTTCGGTTGGCTATTTGATGTGACGGCACGGGATTGATCCTGGGCGCTTGCGAACATCCGAACAGCGTTACGCAGACAGAGGAACAGAACAGCCAAAATACTGGGAGCACGACAGCAAATAACAGGGGCCCTGCCCTGAACCCCAAACGACCCGCGGGAGCAGGAAGAGGAAGAAGAAGAAGAAGAAGAAGAAGAAGAAGAAGAAGAAGAAGAAGAAGAAGAAGAAGAAGAAGAAGAAGAAGAAGAAGAAGAAGAAGAAGAAGAAGAAGAAGAAGAAGAGAGAGGCAAAATCTACGAGTCTTGAGGGACATGTGAGTCATTGCTCATTTCGGTTTTCCGGCTTTAAACGCCCTGAGCTGGTCAAAAACACGTGCTCTCGGAGGTCCGAGCTTGCGAGCTGCCAGCGCAGCTTATGCTCCACGTGGAAACCTGGCAGCACGCATAGCTGAAGCGACCAGTCCCAGCACGGGAGTGTGTCTGCACGACTTGCACTTTACAGCAGGCTTTGCACAAATGGTCATTGTTCCACTGGCATGCTGTTCTTTGATTTCTACTCGGCAGCAGTTTCGGGGTAGTTCGTTCGCCATAGCCTGGGAACATCAATCGCTGACCGTTCTGGATTTTCGAGATACTATGTGGATTGTTTATGGAGATCTGGCGGGAGAGCCGATGCGAGTACTGCCAGTAGCCTGCTACTGGTGCTGACCATGGAGGGTCGGTTTTTGAGAGCTCTGCCCTCAAGCAGCGAGGAAGACCTGCAGAAGCCTTTGTCGATGGCAGCTGGCACGGGGACTCAAATGCCTTGTTCACTATGCGAGTGTTTTTGTTGTGAATCGCAATCGACTCGGCGCCTCCTTTCTGGCTCTTAGAGAGGGCCATGCCCGGAGATGCATGATGTCACCTTGAATGCTGTACAAGGTTTGCCGGCATCCATGTTGGCTCTCCATTGTGAATGAGGGGCGATGGTACATGGAAGGCGGCTTGAACGACGGGAACGTTTTATGCAAGCACCAGCTAGTGCAAGGCGAATCAGCACTTAAAACGTACATTAAGCCCTAGTGACTTCGGAAGTCTCTGCCATGCTGCCAGAGTCCGCCCAAGAATGCGCCAAGTCTCCATGGCTCTGGGCAATCCCTGGAATTGGGGCCTTCTGCGGCACAGGGACCATTGCAGCCGTGTACCACCTGGCAGCCTCTGGGGGCCACCTGCCACCAAACTCGACGACCCCTCCCATCTCCTTCCTTGGAGTGCTGGAGCCAGACGCTTGGATATTGCACTTGGCTTGCATGGCTCACTCAGGGCTTGTGGCAAAGTGGCTACGTGCAGTACCTCTCCCACAGAAAGAGCTGACGCAAAAAGGTGGGCAAAGAATCGGATCTAAGGAGCACACAGTGTACCAGCTCGGCTTCTTGGTGACAGGGTTGCTCTTAGCAGCCAGCGTTCGGCTGTGGTCAGCTGTATTCGCGCCATTGCTGACAGCAGCAGGCCTTGAGCAGTGTGCCCAGGAAGCATGGCTCGACACTTTTTTTGTCTGGTGTATCTGCTCCGCACCTGCCTTGACATATATCTCGTGGCTGTAAGGTTTTCACAGGAAATTTGCCAACCCGCCAGCTAGGAGGCCTAGCAGGCTTGTGTCCCGCCCGGTGCCCACAGATTCCAAGGTGCCTACTATGGCTGGCTAGGTGGCTGGTTAGCAAGCTTTGGCGCAGTGCCCTGACAAGACTACTGTGAGTTGGGGCGCATCGGCTTTGCCCGACTGCCGCCCTGACAGGCGAACCCCGGATGTCAAACCGGCAGGGCGATCCCTCCCCCCCCCACCTCTCCACGCCTATCCTACAACTCGAACGAGCTTGTGTACCCGAAGTCGAAATCATTGCGCTGTTCAATTCCTTGTGAAAATGTAAATCCGAGAATCAAGGCAACTCAGGGCCTCGTGACGCTGGAGAGCGGGATCTTGGGGAAGATTGCGTCTGCGAGCAGCGAGCTCAGCGTGCAAAGAGCCCCAGCAGCAACCAGCATGGAAAGCCCTAAGCAGATCACGTCCCCTTTGCCTTAATACTCCGTGCTCCTGGCTGCTTTCATGTCTGGCTCTGTCTCTATCTCTTCTTTTCTCTCCTTTTTGCTCTGTGGGTAAACACCACTCCTCGAACATTTCCGGCTAGCAACTCCTGGGAAGATCTGGGAAGATCTTTCAAACAGGAAGTGGCTTTACCGGGGTTCGTGCTCCACCACCTCTTCGCCTGCAGACCACTGCCAGAGGAACATCGGCCGCTCTTCTTCTGGCCACAGGTCACTTTCAGACATAGTGCTGGTCCAGCTTGGGTGTGAGCCCACATTGCCTCCTTGAGCTGGCTGGTGTGTCGGTTCCAGTGACTCCGCTCGGTCCTTGCTACATGTTGGCTAGCAGCCATTTCACAGTCGACTGGCCTGTGTGTTTTACGCCTCGCCGTCTTGCTACTCGGGGTGAAGGCGCACCAGCAGGATCGTTCCAGCCAAGTTTTCATCCTCGGGAACGCGGGATGATGGCCAATGATGGCTGGATTGTTCTCTGCTGCTTGGTAAAGCTTGCAGGTTGGTGGACCTGCCGTGCGGTAGGTTGATGAGACGACGAACGCTACTGTACGTGATGAGTCCCAGTAGCACAAGTGCGCTGTGGAAATCCACTGCTGGTGTCCATGCTACGTAGACTTCATACTTTGGCTCATGCTCAGCCGTTGGCTCTGCTAGCTTTGTTGGCCATCTGCTCGTCATGCTGCGTTGGCTCCCAGACTACAGGTTGCCTGGGGCCTTGGGTCATACGGTGCAGAAATCGGCATCTGGTGTTTAAGATCCAAGATCCGCAGGGCTCGTGTGAGCAGCATGTTCAGCCCTTGAGCATGGCCGCACAAGGCGCAACTTTGTTTGCGCTGGGAAGGTCAATCTGTGCACAAAAACAAAGGGATGCTGTTTGAAGGAGGTTGGGAGGCCAGCTCGCGTAGTCTTGCAGACGGAGTTTTAATCGTCGTCTGTTCTCATTCGCTTTGCTTTGCGGCGTACGGCATGGGTCCACACAGCTTTTGCTTAACAAATATAGCCTTGCCTGCTTCGTGCGGGCGTGGTGTCGAAAAGCAGGAAATGAAAAACGAGCTGATAGCACCACGCTGGTCTGGGGGGGGGGGTTGCTCCCAGGTCTGGCGCCTTCATGCCCGTTTTTTGAATCACGTTCGTGGTTGGAATAACCGGAATGCTAAATCTACAACAGCCACTGACTTGTTGTCTTTGCGACGGAAGCCCACTCAAGGCAAACTTCACCAAGCTTTTGCCCTCTTCTTCTTCCTGGGATGCATGATGCATTGTGGCTTGGCTTGCTATCACGCATGCCGCATGCCAGACTTTGACGTGGGCATCGTGCCATGTTCTCAGGTGTTTGAGCCTTTTGGCGTCTTGTGCAGGCATTCAACTTCTCCACCCAGCACAGTAATCGCAAACAGAATGCTGCAGGCGGTTCTATGACGTATGCGGCTTTCTGGTGCAGAAACCCCACATTTGCTCAATTGATTGGGCATCCTTGGAGCAAATGGCCGAAGGCAGGCTCTAAACGTTGATGGTCCTCGGTTTGAAGCCGCACGTTTGAGTGTCAGAACGTTGTGCACGAAAATCGTACGTGTGTGTGTATGTTAGATGTATGTATATACATGTACATGTACATGTACATATACATTTACATATACATAGTATACATATACATATACATACACCTACACATATACGTACACATACACATACACATATATGTATGTAGATGTGTACGTACTACGAAGTACTTAACAGCCACTTCACAGCGGTAACTTTGCAGAAGTATGCCATCTACGCTGCGCAGCTGTGCCGCGCTTTTCTTAAACCTACAAACCTTGAACCGGCAGCAGGCAACCGCCTTTGGCACAACGTTCATTGCGGCTCCTCTTGCGGAGATCCTGCATCCAACAAGGCACTGGAAAGCAGCAGCCGTTGAATCATTGTGGTGGTAGTAGCTGAGGGCCGTACCTAGCCCGATGAACTGCGCCCGCCCTCCCATAGTTCTGTGAGGGACTCTGGCTCCAAGCATCACTTTGACGTGGCTGGCTTGGCCCAGTGTGTTGGCGGATGTTAAACGAGTCAGCGGCAGCGAGTCGTCTCATGTCTGCGGTCCTACACCCGGATTTGTAGCGCCAGTTCACTTTTAATAGTCCTTAGATGGTGGCCAGATGGAGTTGCTCTATTGTGCGTTCGATGCGCAGTCCGAGCAGTCCGACCTAAGGTACCTTTCTGTTGGCCACTTGACAGCAACGTGGGAGCGGTGATTAGAGCAAATCGGCACACTTGGCGTCAAAGGCCAGTCTGTCAGACAAGGGTTAAGATGTTGATCAGAGCAGAGCCACAGAATGCCGGTTCCACCCCGACTACCGTTGCCCATCATCGAGCCCCTGGGGCCCCGGTCTTTCCTGCTGTACAAGAATCGCCAAGGCATGTACATCCTCTTCTTTGGACTCTACAGTGCCTTGCCTTGATCTCTGTGGCATGTGGCACGAGGTGGACGATTAACAGCATGGCATGTCTGGGCCCGTCTACAGAACAGGCAGGTGCTATGCAATCACCTGCCTGAATATATACATATAGAGAGCGAGAGAGAGGGAGAAAGAGAAGGAGCAGGAGAAGGAGAAGTTGATTGGGGCCTCGTCGCTGGGTAGAAGAAGAGAAGAGAGACCACAAAGAAGACCTAAGAACGTTTATCCTGCGAGTCCAAAGAGCGAGGTCTGGATTTCTACAGGCTCCGGCAGCTGGCATGCAAGCCCAGGGCGAAGTGATGCCAAGCGGCCAAGCGTGGAAAACAAATACAAAAAGCAAGCGGAGCTTGTGTGCGGGGGGGGGGGGTCGCAGTCGCAGCGGTCCATCTTCCGAAAATATCGGCTTTACAGGAGACGGCCGTTGTGTTCCGACACGTAGTTGGGCTCCTTCAACCATCGCAGGTTTTGATTCTCAGGAGCTGTACAGGAAGCACAAGCCAAGTAACAAGACACTGCTGCTGAGGCCTGACGCTGACTGCGCAAACTCGCGCTTGAGGGAGGACGCCGAGGGCCGAGGGAAGCTTTGGGGAGACGGCTGCTACCACAGTTCTGTGCAGGGATTAACGCTGCTGCTGGACAGTCTCCATCAGTTTCCATTACCCTCTTCCTGCCTCAGCACTGGCCCAAAGAGCTGTGGTCGGGGCTGTGCGCCCGTGCCATGCGCAGAAGTCACTTTTTCCAAGCAAGGTGCTCAGCTTGCCTCCAGCCACAAGCCGCCAGAAGCCGCCCTTTGAGTGGTGTGACGGCTCGGCTTGCCGAGGCCCTTTCCTTCTCTGAGAGACAGCCGAAGAACCATGCCGCCGAGGGGAATGATGCTACGCAGCGCAATAAGCCCAAGCTGTGGATGGACTTGTGTAGTCAGTGTAAGTGCTAATGATTGCAGTCCCTGCCTTATGGGCCGACTGCTTAAGCCTCAAGCTCCGTGCCAATACGATACCAACCAGCACCACACCCAGCTTGCAGCTTGTCTTTGGCGCACCCCGTGCATTGGGATGTGAGTGGAAAACTTTCACATGTTCGATCCAAGGCTAGAGATGGACGACGTGGACAGCGACAACTCGGTGTCCATGACATGGGAGATTGATCCTGCCAGTGGCACAATGCGTCACAAGAAGACGGGAACTAAAGTCTCCACTGATTCCGGCATCACGCACCTCAGCTGCAACAGCTGCGACCTGGACAGCGAGAGGCCAACTTGACCGTGAACAGGAATCAACCTTAGGAAGCCAAGCCAAGTACAGTTCCTTCCGCTGTTCTAATGTACGGGTAAGATGCTGTTAAGCCTCGTGCCACAATCACAAGCGCCAGATGCATAGGCGGCCTAATCCGAGCTTGAAAGCGTTCGCTCTCCCTCTCTCTCTCTCTCTTTCTCTACCTTTCTTTGTGTGTCTGTGTCAGTCAGTCAGCCAGTCTGCCTGTTTGAGTGCCTGTTCGATGTTGTCTCGCACACGACGCTCCAGCCCGAACAGGTATGAAGGCCAGGAGTACCGCCTCTCACCGGAGGACAGGGTGGGATGACTTGAAAGCAACTGTGACGCTGAGGCATTGCGCACAGCGCACACCAGGCCGTGCGACTGAGCGAAGGCTCTGTCGGTTCCGTGGGCGGAGAGCTTACGAAGCCACAACAAAGCCGTTCCCCTTCACTCGAGACCCTTAAATAATAAGGCCCTGAACTCCCCTTTAACTCCAGAGACTGAAGCGTCGATATCTGGTCTTAGACGCAGCTCCAGCATGCTCTGTCACCCTGAATCCAGACGCCTTGGAGGGTTACGGAGAGGAATGCCCAAGTTTGGGCCCTAAGGAGCAGAGGGTATTATCATTCACTAATTGTGCCATATTCAGTTCTCTAATCGTCGTTTAGCCTGGAAAGTGGCGGTGTATGAAGTGTTCCTGAGTCTGGAATCCGGTTGACATCTGAGCCCTCAGCTGACACGGAGCTGGGAAGCTGAGATTGGGACATGGGTTGTCATTGTGTGCGGTCTCCTGTGGGTTGGACGGAGGACAGTCTGATTCTGGGCCATGGGGTGCACCTGTCATCATGCTCGGTGACAGATTCGAGACATGGTGCGCCTTAATCTTGAACAGGGGCTTGAGCGCAAAAAGCCCTCAAGCTCTTTTGAGCTAGACCCTAAACATCCCTAAGCCGCAGGATATCGACCTGGATTTCGACTCTCATCTCGGAGCTGGGGCCTGCGGCGTCGTCTTGGCCTTAGGGCAGCTGTGGGTGGCCATGCCTTAGAATACATCCTCTCTTGCCCTCCAATGTCCAAAGAACGAGAGAGAGAGAGCTGTTTGTTCCCTCTCGACCTCAGCCATGCTGCCGACCTTCCTGCCCAAAGCTTCATGCGCAGCATCACACCCTCTGCAGCGCGGACTCGGTACGCGGCCGTTAAGGTGGCCCCCTCGCGGGCCGCTGGAAGGAAGGAGAAGCAAGGAAGGAAGAGAGGCCCTGCGGGCCCTGCGCGCGGAGGGTTCTTTTAGGGGGCCCGTCAAGGGCCCGTCAAGCCCAGCACATCGAAGCAGAAAGAAGCACAGAGAATAGTCGATTGGAGAATTATTTCGAAGGCAACTGCGCAGCATAACCTTTACGGCCACTTTGTCCACTGCCCATCTTACCTACATGCTGCTTGCTAGGCATGTTGAGGCCTTGAATGGTTGATTCGGATCATGTCGGACTGCCCCCTCTGGGGCCCAGCGTCTATACCCGGTGTCTCTACGTGCGTATGCGCAGTCCAAGGTCATGAAGGGTGTCATCAAGCACTCCGGAATTCCCGTGGCGGTGTCGCGCTCAGCATTTGGACGAACACCATTATGACGTCATCCAGAAGAATGGTACCAACCGGCCCCAGAACCTGCTTGAAATTTGTCAGTATACTAAACTTCTGAGAGAGAACCTTCGATGTTAACCAGGTCACTCAAACATTCAACTTCAGTTTCGTTTCGTTTCAACAATTCACGATGCATCATGTTTTACCAATACTCCAAAATTCAGTCTTCAACTGATCGGAATTCAAACTGCCGCTGGCCATCGTCGATCCTCAAGTGGAGTTTTGCTCAAGTCGGCTTCAAAACTCTATATAACCTCAGATTGAACATTTTATCGAGAACCTTTCTGCTGTTTGAGTTTTTATCTTTAGTTGGGGGGGGAGAACCAGCTCAATGCTCCCAGTTGAATCCGAAGATTTCTCGAGCAATCGTTTCAGGACACGTGCAATAAGCGAGCGTTTTGCCTAGCAGGGCGTGCTGCTACGCAATATTGTTTTGCCGATCTGTACGATTCTGTCTTCATTGGGGTGTCTACTGTGCACTTTTGCTTGTTGGGCCGTTCTGCTGCTTCAGACGCTATGGTACTCTAGCGTCCGTTTTCGCACTTTCCTCGCGTAGATTGATCTGTTCAGTGGGGCACTCTGCTGCCGATGTTTTCTTTGCCTTATAAACAGGCTGTTTTTTCTCTTTGGACCTGTTGACGGCAAGGCAAGGCAGGCGGAGCTTGGTGCTGCTCCAGTATGCTCGTACAGGTAGAGGTCATGAATGGTCATTAGGCCCCAAGCTGGCCGAGGTAAAAACGGTGAAGGTCGACGACAAGGCCAAGCGCGAGCAGCTTCTCAATGAAATCCGTGGTCTCATTGCAGCGGATGGTTGCATCAACCTAGTCCACTGGCAGCTTCGCCTGTTGTTAGCAACTCTTCTTTCTTGCTGTATATGTTGACGACTCAGAGAGTCAGAGAGCTTGATGCTACATTGTTGTCTGACTGACAGCACAGGTACGCAGGCTTCATGTCCAAGAGCACGAGCGTCGTACATGTCGCTCTGGAGTTTATGGACTTGGGCAGTCTTGCTGACCTCAAGAAGCGCCTGGGTGGTAGCGGAGTTCCCCCGTTCTACCTCTCCAACATCACGTACCAGATCATGAATGGCTTAGACTACCTACACAAGAAGAAGATGCTGCACCGCGACATCAAGCCGGAGAACATCCTTCACAACAGAAGCGGCTTCGTCAAGCTCACCGATTTCGGCATTGCCAAGGACCTTGACAAGACTCTGGCCATGGCTGGAACCTTCGTCGGCACGGCCCGCTGCCCAGACTGTTCTGATGTCGTTTCTGAAGTTCCAGGTTGATTCTGTGGGTCCAGCTGTCCAGCCACGTAGCTTTCCTATTTTGTGACCTTCCTCAAGAGGTGGAGGGTCAGACAGGGAGAGCTGAAAAAGGTCTGACCTGCAAGCATTGAAAGTTGAAAGGGAAGTTAAAATGAAGGCCCCTCATCATTAACTACAATACCGTATTCCTGGGCTTACGCAATGTATCCCTTCGACAAGGTTCATGAGGCAGAATTGCAGTCTGAGGACCCATAGTCTAGGTGGTGTTGCTCGCCTTGTGGCATGTGACACCTTAGAATAGTCACTCTAACGCGGCATCGTCTGAGCTATCGGGCTGACTCTAGCTGCGTTTGTATGTCGTAATACTTAGTCAGTGATGGGGTTTCAACTTGGTTGCTGCAATTCTGTTCTTGTCACCAAATTCATTCTTCGTTTGGCTGAGTGCCCTGAGGTGACCTACATGTCGCCAGAGCGCTGCTTAGGCCAGGACTATTCCTTCGCTTCGGATATTTGGAGTGTAGGGATGGTGATTTACGACTCTCGGCTGCAAGATTTGCACATCTCAGGATGCAATCAGATGCATTGCCGCACCTACCAGTCTGCCAGGGTGCAGTCGTGACAGGAAGAGCCGTGAACTGTTTAGACGTCCTTTCTGAGAACTTGTGTGCCCAGGAGCTCAGTACGGGAAGATATCCGTTTGCGGACATCGGATCCTTCCCCGTGTCCTGCATGCAAGCTGAGTGTGAGGAAAGCTTCGGGGGGGGGGGAGCAATGCTAAGGTTGCTTAGTTTTTGTTTCAGCTTGTTGGGCTTCTGTGGTGCTTTCTCGGGTTTTGGGAGAGGGTTTGGGAGCGGGTGTGACCTTGGATGCCAGAAGCACTTGAGAAGTCGGATGTTAAAACGCATCTGGCATTCCAGGTCCTCTTCGACCACTTGTGCGAGAAGCCGGAGCCCAGGCTCCTGAAACAACCTTATAGTTGTTAAGGAGCGGAGAGACAAGTGTCAATGCACAAGCCTGGGCATGCATGCTAGCTAAGCACCACTTTGCAGTCCATGTCCTGACAGGTCCTGCAAATGCTGCACAAGTGCTACTGTAGTGACTTTGTTTCATGTCACAAACGGCCACAGGCTGACGCCCGACTTTCCTCCGGAGCTTGTTGAGTTTGATGCGCTGTGCCTCACGCGTGACGTGGCGAGACGCGCCGATACCGAGTACTTGCTTGCCCGGGCCTTGGCGCGCACATGCCAATGGCGAGCCGATGGTGTTGCAGCCTTGCAGCCAGTTGCTTTCAAAGGCCATCGCTGGAGAAAGGTGAAACGTGAGCTCCTGCTAGCTGTCTTGTGCCCAAGTGGACAAGCTGAGGCGCATCCGTTCGTTACACAGAATGTGCCTGATGTGGATCAGTTGGCTGCCTGGCTGGCAACCTTCTGCTGACCTCAAAGGCGCAGTTGGGTCAATCATTGGCTTGTTGCACATGTTGTTCCGGTAGGAAGCGCTCCCAAGTTATGCATCCATCACCAGGCAGACGGCGGATTGCAAGCGTGGAGCCCAAAGCAAGACTTGAGCCAGCATGCCAAAGCAACGCTGGCCGCAATGCATGGGACAAGAGGGAAAGCTAAGGCGGGCTTAATTGATATCATTCCATATCATCCCCTTCTCCTTTTTGCATTGGGCCCTGCAAAGGCCCCTGGAATGGGAAGGAAATGACTCCGGCCTGTGCCCGACATGTTTCGGATTGGAACATACCGTGACATGGATCAAGCAACAAGTCAGAAGCTGGCTGGCGAATCATGCAAAAACTGCGAAACAGAAACCAGAAACTGAGCATCAGAAACCCACGAATCAGGAACTGCGCATGAGCAAGGCGCGAATCAGAAACTGCGCATCAGAAAGCCGCGCGAGTCAACAACCGCGCATGGTCAGGAACTGCGAAGCAGAACCTGCTGGATGCGGGGTGGGGGGTGGGAGTGAGGGGGAGGGGGTGGGGGTAGGGGGAGGGGTGGGAGTGGGGCTGTCGGGCCTGAGAAGCGAATCCCGTGCAAGTTGCCAACGCATGAAGAACATTCCAGACCTCGGCAGCGATGGGGGGTTTGGGGTTTGGGGGGTCTGGGGAGCGTTTAGGGCTTGACAGTTTAGGGTTTCGAGTTTTGAGCTTTTGCAACTCGAGCTCTTGCCGTCTTTCAGTTTTGAAGTAACTGCTTTCCCGGGTTTCCTGGTTTCCGAATCATCCTTTCACTGGTTTCAAAAATCATCCGTTTCCCAGTTGCTGCTTCAGCCGTTTCGCGGTTTCCGAATCATTCGTTTCCCGGGTTCCGATTTTCCCGTTTGGGTTTCCTAAACAGCCTAATCAGCCGATTCCCGGTTTCTGAATCAGCTGCTTGCCGGTCTCCGAATCGGCCTTTTGCCAGTTTCCGAATCATCTGTTTCTTGGTTTCCGAGTATCCCGTTTCGGTTTCCGATTCAGCCGTCCTGGTTTCTGATTCACCCCATTCAGGCCTGGTTTCCGATTTTCCCGTTCTGGTTTCCGATTCAGCCGTTCTGCTTACCGATTCGGCCGTTCTGCTCTCCAGCTTTTTCGCCGACTTCGTGACATGCTCAGTCCAACCTGTTGTTTTTTGCATCTGCGCCGCAGAAGAGTTCCTTGAGACGAAGGTAGCTGGCACCACTCCCGCGAAAGATGAGCCGATTCTGCAGTCGCGGCTAAGGAGTTAGAACACACGTAGAACGGGTCGATCTTTCGTTTCGGAGCAACTGGGTGTTACATTCATTCGGTAGCTTCCCACATCGACTTGTTGAGCTTACATCCCTCATTCAGCTCTAAGGCATTCCTTCCCTGTAGGCGAACCTAAGCATGGGAGACATGCAAGTTTGACCCACGCACGCGGACGGGGCGAGCAGGTGAGACAAAAAATCCTAGTAGCCAAAACTCGTTCGTGAAGGCTGCGCATCACAGTATCGAGGCAGCCCGTACAAGTAGCTATCAGACCCAAGCGGTTTGTGGACTCGTGCTGTGCAACGCACCTGCTCGCTGGCAACAGAGATGGAAACATCCCTGCACGGTGCTATCGCCTGAGGCTGCACTTAGGGAAACTACTTTTGCAGTCATGACGGGGTGCCCGACGAGCCGAAAGACATTTGCTGGTCAAAGCTGGAGGTACATGAAGGCACTGCCCAGGGCCAAAGGCTTGAAGCATCTTCAGACGCCGAATTGCACTGAACCGAACTTATCGTTGACTCAACTTTGACATTGCATCTGGGAGTTGGGCAGTCCGTCGCCAGTCTGTTGCTGAAGACATAGTGGCCTCCTTTTGTGGCCTTGCTGGTCTGAGCAGTCCTATTCTCGCTCCAGATCGCCCGTGCTCCTGTAAGCCTTGCTGGATGGGGGATCAGTTGCGCCATGGCGCATCCGCGGGCAGCATGGAGATGGGATGGGGTTGTTCGGCCATCAGCGCTAGTGTGCCTCGGAGTGCTGTCATCGCGAGCGTGTCAGTTGAGAAAAAGTGCTTTGCATGATTTTGTATGCATCTGTTGGGTGCCGTACGCAGGCCGCAGATGCTGTCTTTCTATGTCTTTCTACTGCACTGCATGCTTGAGAGCGTGCTTAACCCGAAGCTTGTCACTGGAGCCTGCCCTAGATCGAAAGCGGGTACCGGTGTTTCAGAAGCTGAGCCTCCTCAGAAAATCGAGAGCAAAAAATGCTGCGGCATGCTTGCCTTCCCTTGCCAGGAGTGTCGCTGCCTGCGCGAGGAGCTCATGGCGCAGCACATGGAGGCAAGGACTCAAGGTATGTGTTGGGATGTTCCCCCTTATACTAACAGCATCTAACAGTCCTTAATAGGGATGAAAATGGGGGGTACTATAAATCCTTATTAAGGACTGTTAGTATAAGGGGGAACATCCCAAGGCATGGGTAGATTAATGCGCCGTGGCTTTGCGCAGGGCCGAGGAGGCATACACGGCAAAGCTCAATAGGGAAACGAAAAATTCGGGGCTTCTTGTACTGGAACCGGTGCTCTACCGTGTCACGTCATGTATCACGTGCTACGTCCGGCTCAGAGTATGCATCCAGGGATTCCGATGGCAAGAGTCAGACCAGCTGAGTGGAGGGAGACTGCTTGAGGCTGATCCTCTTAGGGAAGGGATGAGCGCGTCGAATTTCTCATTTCGTTGCAGCACGACAGAGTGATCATACCTTGCATCGCCCAAGCTCCATACTGTGCATACTGTGAGCTCTTGGGAGCCCGTGGATTCCAGTTGCGTTGTTGTCAGTTCCCACACCCATGCCCAGTCGAGGAGAGGGGGCTGTCGAGACGAGTGGAGCAGCGCGATGCCCAGACCTGCTCACGTTCAAGGGTGGCTTGCAAAGTAGGAGCTGGGGCAGTTAGGATGCAGAAGCCAGAGGCCCTGGATGTTTCGGAGGTTTGTTTTGGCATCATGTTTAGAATGAGGGTTGTAGCTCTGCATAGACATCCAGCACCTTGCTTACCTGCGCCGTGCGGTGCGGAGTTGTGAGGCTGGAAGGGTGTCTGCGGAGCAGAACGCACCAGAAGCAGCCTCAGATCGGTTGCGGCCGTCTCCTGAAATGTTGCTGTGCTTTGCATGGCTCGTTCAATCCTGCAAAGCTTTAACTTTAACTGCTTGGGGGATCTTAGTGCTTAAGATGGAAGAACGATTTTTTTTGAGGGGATCTTAGTTTGGAGCGGAAGATGAAAGAACAATTGCGGAACATCAGATAAGCTGCCGAGACAGAGAGAATTTGCATGCAGCATGCGTCAGGATAGTGAACGCTTGAGCAGGCTGGACCGCCTGCTGCACAACTTGTCTGGCGCTGAGACTGCTGTGTGCTCTCCTGCTTGCCTATGTCCATGCACGTAAGTCTATCCCAAGTAAGTGCTGGCTAGCAAGGCTTTAGAAACTTGACAAGCCTGCCAGCAGCCCAAGCCAAAAGCTGGCACCATGGCTATAGAGGAGCAGCGCAGAGCCGACGGCACCTGGTCAGGAGTGGGAATGGCTTCCAAATGTCTTTGCGTCGCCATATGTAAGATTGCTATACATTGCTGGTATGTGGGACCGAGACCTTCTTGCGGCCTTTGCGCAGGACCGGCGGAGCACTTCATTTCCCAGACCGCCTTTTTCTTAGCGTTACCATTGCCACGAACATGGCAAACCATCATTGCTGTTCCCGAGATTGAGTAGGACTCCCAACTCACAACAGACCATCTGACAATTTGACATTGAGGCTGAGGGACGATTCACTGTTCTTGCATCTTCCGGCACGCCTGCCATGAGGCCTTTGACAGTCAAGGCAAGTCAGCCATTGCCAAGGCAAAGCGGACAAACACGTGCTCGCCTGGCGTGGGTCTCAGGGATCTCTCGCAACTTCCAAACTCTGCGCTGGTCTGCCTCAGTGCACCACGTGGAGGGATGGAAACGCTAAAAAGAATAGAGAGCCTAGCTGAAAATGCTCAAATGCTCGAACCCCAGCATCTGAAGCTAAAGCTGAGGCTGCGGCGCGACGAGAAAGCGAGCGGATTCTGGCTGCTCGGCATTATACTCGTACTTGCGCCATTACCTTCTACCGCAACATTAAGATTACGACAAGTATTACCATTTCAAGACGTACTAGCACCATGTGTTTCTGGTAATTCCTGCAATCAGCTGAGCTGGAGCAACTTCGGCACATGCTGACCATGTTACAGATGCGGCTAGAGCTGGTGAGAAGCTGCTATGTTATGTGTGGAATAGTACTCACAGCAACACAAGAAGTCTTTGCTCAAGGTGCAGAATTTGGGTCGCACAGCATGCGTCTGGTTTGCGCTAAGTGTAAGCGGACGACGATGAAGCTTGCCCGGAGGTGCAAGAATTTGAAGATGGCAAATGCCTCAGCCATCCGCCAGCGCATGTTAGCAGCTTCTTGCAGCAAGAGGATGTCCAGTTGCGCTTTGCAGGCGACACCGACCCTGATTTCCCCCATGCAAGCCATGTGGATTTCCGCCGTGTGCTGAGAGCGACCATTGCCAAGCCGACAAAGAGGTATTTAGACTCGCTGTAGGCTCTTCGAGCTTTGCCTCTCAGGCCAAGTGCTTGGGCCTGGGGCTCGGGCTGGGAGCCCGGCTCGACAGGTGTCGCTCGGAGCACTTGCCCCTGCCAAGGTAATGCAAGGCGATGCTAAGGCCAATTCAAATGACCTGCGCCCCCCCCAACTTGTGCCAAGGTCGATACCCAACGGCAGGAACTTGCGGCATGGCTCTCAAGAACCCGCGTGAGCCAATTTACATGTGGAGTTGTATGTGGCATTGGCAGGAGGCCCCTCTTTCTGAGACTCTGGGATCTGCAAGTCCTGTTTGCATTGCAACTGAGGCGCTCCATGAGCAGGAGCGGGATAGGAGGGCTGCCTGGGCCTTACCGGACTTTGGGAAGTAGGCCCGCTATCC